TAGCAGGACACAAAATCAACACCCATAAATCAAAGGCATTTCTGTATATCAGTGACAAATATTCTGAAAGGGAAATAAGGAAAACTACCCCATTTACAATAGCCTCAAAAAAATACTTTGAAAGCAATCTAACAAAAGAAGTGAAAGACAATTTTACAACAAAAACTACAGAATGCTAAAGAAAAAAATTAAAGAAGATTTTATAAGATGGAAAGACCTCCCTTGTTCTTGGATAGGCAGAATTAATATTGTCAAAATAACCATACTTCCAAAAGCATTATACAGATTTAATGCAATTACAATCAAAATCCCAATGACATTCCTTATAGAAATAGAAAAAGTTGTCATGAAATTCATCTGGAAAAATAAGAGACTCATAATAGCTAAAGCAATCCTTAGCAAGAATAATGAAGCAGGTGGCATCACTGTACGAGACCTTAAACTATACTATAGAGCAATAGTAACAAAAACAGCATGGTATTGGCACCAAAATAGACTGTTAGACCAATGGTACAGAATAGAGGACACAGAGACTAACCCACATAATTATAGTTATCTTATGTTAGATAAAGGTGCCAAAAACATGCATTGGAGAAAAGATAGCCTCTTCAACAAATGGTACTGGGAAAACTGGAAATCCATATGCAACAAAATGAAATTAAACCCCTATCTCTCAGCATACACAAAACTCATTAAACATGAGACTCTGTGTCTAATAGAAGAAAAAGTAGGCCCAAATCTCCATCATATCGGTTTAGGCCTCTACTTCCTTAATAAGACTCCTATAGTGCAAGAATTAAAATGAAGAATTAATAAATAAGATGGATTCAAACTAAAAATCTGCTTCTCAGCAAAAGAGAGAGCACTAATAGATAGAGCACTAATCTCTAGGGTATATAAAGAACTCAAAAAGCCAAACACCAAAAAAACAAATAACCCAATCAATAAGTAGACCAAGGAATTGAACAGACACTTCTTAGAAGGTGATATACTTTCAATCCACAAATATATGAAAACATGTTCAGCATCTCAAGCAATTAGAGAAATGCAAATCCAAACTTCTCTAAGATTTCACCTCACTACAGTCAGAAAGGCAACTATTAAGACCACAAACCATAAGTGTTGTTGAGGATGTGTGGAAAAAGGCACACTCATACATTACTGGTGAGACTGCAAATTGGTGCAGCTAATCTGGAAGTAGTATGGAGATTCCTTGGAAAACTGGGAATGGAACCACCATTTGACACAGCTATCCCACTCCTGGGTCTATACCCAAAGAACTTAAAAACAGCATACTACAGGGACACAGCCACATCAGTGTTTATAGCAGCACAATTCACAATAGCTAAACTGTGAAACCAATCTAGATGCCCTTCAGTAGATGAATGGATAAAGAAAATGTGCTATATATACACAATGGAATATTACTCAGCAATAAAAGAATAAAATCATGACATTTGCAGGTAAATAGAAGGACTTGGAGAAGATAATGCTAAGTGAAGTTAGCTAATCCCCCAAAAAACAAATGCCAAATGTTTTCTCTGATATAAGAAAGCTAAATCATAGTGGGGTTGGGAGGGAGAGCATGGGAAGATTAGTGAATTCTAGATAGGGCAAAGGGGAAGGAGGAGAAAGGAGGAGGCATGGGTTGTAAAAATGATGGTGGAATGAGATGGACATCATTACCCTAAGTTCATGTATGAAGACATGAATTGTGTAAATACACTTTGTGTACAACCAGAGATATGAAAAATTGTTCTCTATATGTGTAATATGAATTGTAATGCATTCTGCTGTCATACATAACAAATTAGAACAAATTTTTTTTAAAAAAAGTATTAGGGCTGGGGATATAGCTCAGTGGCAGGGCATTTGCTTAGCATGCTCAAAGCCATGAGGAGGAGAAAGATGCAGCAGGGATAGAAGGAGGAGGAGGAAGAGGTATAAGAAGGATGACAAGGAGGAGGGAGTGAAGAAGAAGAAGAAGGAGAGGGAGGAGAAAGAGGAGAAAAGCTAGCATAATGTGCTGGGTGGAAAGGGATGTTACATTCCCATCATGGTTCTTTATCGGTTCAACAAAAACCACAACCAAAGTTATATCATGAGAGCAAAAATACAATTAAATATTTGTCTTACCAATTCTTATAAAATACGTAGGTACAAATAGTCAATGTACACAGCTTTTATAAGATATTCCAATTGACCAAGAAAACTCATAAAAATGTAACTATAGGGCACTGGTGTTGTGGTTCTTGCCTAGCATGTGTGAGGCACTGGGTTCAATTCTCAGCACCTACTGACCACTAAGAAAATATTTAAAAAAAAAAATGCAACTTGGGCTGGGGATGTGGCTTAAGCGGTAGCACACTCACCTGGCATGCATGTGGCCCAGGTTCGATCCTCAGCACCACATACAAACAAAGATGTTGTGTCCACCAAAAACTAAAAAACAAATATTAAAAATTCTCTCTCTTTAAAAAAATGCAACTCTACTGTGTCTAAAATAATATACTAGCTATATTAATAATAAACATTGAATTGATTATAACTTAGCTTATCTTTTTTTGTCAGGAGGGCTTTTATGGAATTCATAGTCAATATATTTTTAAAAGTATATCCAATGAACTCTGAACTAAAATATTACTCTTTCTACATTTTTATTTGTATTCGTGTAGCATGCAGCAAAATATTAAAGATCATTCAACCAATAAGATGAAACCATTTCTTTTAAAAATAGGCTCAGGCCAGGCACAGTGCTACATGCCCATAATCCCTATAACTCAGGAGGCTGAGGTAGGAAGATTGCAAGTTCATAGCCAGCCTCAGTAGATTAGCAAGGCACTTAGCAACTGAGCAAGACCCTGTCTCTAAAATATAAAAAAAGGCACCCTTGGGTTCAAGCCTCAGTACCAAATACATACATATATATACATACATATTTATATATACATACATATATGTACATATATATGTGTGTGTGTATATATATATATATATATATATATATATATATATAGTATGTATGTATGTACATACATACATACATATATATGTATGTGTATACACACACACACACACACACACACACATGTATGGGCTGAGGATATAGCTCAGGGGTTAAGCCCTCCTGGATTCAATCCTTGTACCAAAATAAATAAATAAATAAAATAGGCTTAGTAGTATGTAAGACACTAAGAACCTAAGTTAAAATTCAGTTTTCACTTTTAAGTTTCTTCATTATAGATCCTCTTGTTCTCACTATAATAGTTATCTTTGCTATTTCTGCCCTCAATCCCAGAAACAATAGAGAACAGGGGATAGAGGGAGATGACACAAAACATAACTGAAATTGTGGGTAAGTAAGTGGAAGAAGAGGAAGGGCAACACTCTTTATGTTTGGTGATAGATTTCCAAATTTCCTGTGTGTTGTTGTTCTTTAAACAAGAGATATCAAAGCTTTTAATTTTTTTTTTGTTCTGCAAATTGACCAAATTATATTGTTATATTGTGCACATGTAAAAATATGTAACAATAAATCCCACTATTGTGTATAATTATAATACATCAATATGTTTTTTTTTTAAACTTCATTCTGCCATCTCCCTGACTGACTTCCCAAGGAAAGCAGTTTGGGACTCTACTATAAAAAGACATAGACTATAAAAGAGCAAATAAAAATTAATTAATTAAGTTTTTTTTTTTTAAAAAGACACACCAAAAAAAAAAAAGACATGGTAAAAGCATCAAGAATAGGAAGATACAGGTGTTTTTAGCTGCAAAGCATAAGTTCTCATTAGATCCTGTTGAAGGATTACAACAGTGAGATGTTAAGCATTAAAAAGTAAGTATTATCTTTATGTGACCTGTACATCACACTATATTAACAATAAATTAACTTCTGAAATTACTTTTACCCAATTCCATTCAGCAATTATCTCCACAGACCAAGAAGGATAAAGTTCTTCCTTAATAAAATGTAGGTGCTTCTGTTGGTTGGTCACCCAAGTAACAACAAGACAATTTGGAGCAGCCAGTTTTGGAATAGGTATTTGCTTTATTTGCAGTGGTGATAAATAACTGTACCTAAAAATACACAGAAAAATATGACCAAAATTCACAGCAAAAAAGAAAATCAGAGAAAGACCTAGATAACTTTGGCCCCATTACAAGCCTATTCTAGCTATTTATTTGTGTAGCTAAATATGAAGCCAGAGTGCCACCTGGTGGGCATATTATTATCCAAAAGTAAAAACTGACTTCATTTTTCTTTGACAAATTTGCCAGACAGTATTGTTTTTTAATCATTTCCAATCACACAATATAACCCAAAAGCCCTGCACAAAATGCTGAGCCCTCTAGTCACCTGTCTACTCACACAACCTCATCTCCTTTGCACTATATTTTCAATCCCCAATTGATCATCCTGTTTTTTTTCTTCCTTTTCAATCAATTCCACTGAGCTCTGTGAAGCCCTTAGACTTTCATTTTAAAAGGAATTCATTGTCTTGGAACCTACTGCCATTAAAAGTAGAAAGTCTAGTTTGTATTCACAGAACACTACTAGCTGTATGATACCCAATCAAGTGAATATGCCCCCTTCTGCAACATTCAACACACTCAACAGGAGGGGAAAAATCAGTATCCTAATTCATGGCTACCTCTAACCCCTATCACACCCTTCTCTTTGAGACACATGGTATCCAGCTCTGCTACACTAATGCTCCTTACTGAATCCATTTCATCCTCACTCTCCATATTCAGTGAAGATTTAAGCTCTGAGATCCTTCTACCTCACCATGACAATTTCAGAGCATAGCCCATATCATGTACATGCCTCAAATATACTTTATCTAAACAAACAGAATTGTATTCACCTTACTTCAGTAGTCTACTGTGATGCAATAACCTGGACTTTACCATGACACTTGCTTCATCTCTGAAACCAATCACATTAATCTCTTTCCTCCTATCATTTATCTATTTTTTGACCTTAATCAAAGAATCCCCATCGGGGCCGCAGCTGGACCGTTCGCAGGGGGCGCCGCGGGGCCGTTGATGGCCGGCGGTGGCTCCGCACTGCGCCGTTCCGAATGGAGGCGGCGCCGGGCCCCGGGCCGAGGCTCTGCTGCCGGCCCGGCGGGCGGCTGGACATGAGCCACGGCCTCGTGCACCACATACGACGGAACCAGATCGCTCGGTACCGCCCCGCCCCACAGCCACCCCTGACCCGGCCCGGCCCGGCCCCGCCCCGGGGCCCTGACTCCAGCCCGGCTCCCCGCAGGGACGACTAGGACAAGAAGGTGAAGCAGGCCAAGGAGAAGGCGAGGAGGCGGCACACGCCCGCGCACACAGGTGTACCTGCCTCCGCGCCGAGATGGTTCTACCCACCCAGGCAACCCAGACTGTGAGGAGTCCGGTGAAAGCAGCAGTAGTGGTGGCTCCGAGCTGGAGCCTTCTGGCCATCAGCTCTTCTGCTTAGAATACAAGTCCGACAATGGAGAGGTCACATCAGTTATCATGTATCAGGTAAGCCTCATGGACACAGCTGCCACTTGAAGGTCCTGGGCTGTGGTAGAAATCACTTCCAGACCCAGCGCCACTGTTTGCCTCAGGGCCAGTGTGAAGATTGCCCCACGTGAGAGCACAGAACTGCCAGGCGATGCTCAAGAGCACATCTCAGTTCTGTCTCGGTGATTCTCAGTGGGAGAATCATCATTGTGACCCCCAGTTGAGAATCACTATTGCAGGGGACAACTGAGAAATGACAGGTACTGACAAGAAGCCTTGAGCCAAATGGAGTTCTGTGAGAGTGTTGTCTGGGGTCAGGGAAGGTTGCCTTTCTGCAAGAGAGGAGGCCCTGAGCTTCCTGACTCTTCCTCCACCTAGGACGATGACCCAGGAAGGGTGAGTGAGGAAGTGTCAGCACACACACCTCTGGATCTGCCCATGCGAGAGGCCCTCAAGTCGCGTATCCAGGAGGAGATTGCCAAACGCCAGAGCCGACACTGACCAGGTGGAAGGCATTCTCTCCAGGCAAGAATCCTGCACTTGGATGAATTCTAACTAGGGAGCCCACCCTACATTGCGGTGCTAGGACTTGTCTGTCTGATCTTGAGACCCTTATAAGCTGCTGCCTCCACAGGGGTGTTGCAGGGCTAAACCTAGCCCACCTCCCTTGCAGCAATTCTTTCTTGTATGTTGACCATTTGGCTGGCCTATTGTCTTGGAATTTTTTGAGAATTTTGATTAGAGAACCTGGTGCTCTTGAAGCTAAGAACTTAGGGAGAGCCAGGGTTTATAAAGCCTTTTGCCAATACGCTGCTCTCTCACTGAGGTCATATGCCTGACCACTCACGCCATGAGCCATGTTTGTTACTTTATCGTTTTCTTTCATGTTTCTGCTTCCACCATAGTTTCCTAGACCCCCCCCCTTAAGTTTTGTTCTTTTTGCCTCAGGTAGAACCCATCAGTTCCTTTCACCCCATCTCTTGACATGACTATGCATCTCCACAACTAAGGGCTTTGCTGCTGGGGAGTTCTGGGTATCTACCTTTCTAACAAGTTCTCCGAATATTTCTGGCACCAGTAAGATGGGAGAGGCCTGCTTGGAAGCTTGTTCTCTTCCCCTTGCCTGACTTCTTCCCATGCTCCACTGCTTTGCGCTGTTTAGATAGGCCACCTAGGAAAAAGATGCTGTTGTAAAATCTGGGGATCTCAGTGAATCCTGCTTTAGTTAGAGTTAAGCAACTCCAGCTTTTGATCCCATCCCCAGTTGTAAATAGACTATTCTCTGTTCAGACTAAAGGGGAATTGTCAAAACAAGGTATTAAAGTCCAGAACAGTTTTGAATATATGTGCAAAGTGGAAATCAGCATAAGTTTAGAGCCCCAGTAGCCAGAAAAAAAAAGTCCTGAAGAAAGCCCATACTAGAAAAAGTAAAATCAGCCCCTTATCTGCCCCACGTGTTTTCCTTTCCTACCTCCAAAAAATATACAACTAAGAGTCTTGTAGAGCCCCAGTAATAGTATGTTGGCCCATTTGGCTGGCCTATTATCTTGAATTTTTTTGAGAATTTTGATTAGAGAACCTTGTGCTCTGGTAGCAGAGACCTTAGAGAGAGCCAGGGTTTATAAAGCCTTCTGCCAATATGCTGTATGTAGAGAATTTTTATTTTTTGGAATGGTCCCAGGAATCAAACCCAGGGCCTCTTGCATGCTAGGCAAGCACACTGCTACTGAGCTCCATTCTAACACAGGGTTAGACAAGAGGACTGAGGGGTGCAGCTCAGTGATAGAGTACCTGCCTAGCATGCACCCAGCTCTGGGTTCAGTCCCCAGCACCACTTTGGGAGGTGGGGAACAGGTGGGGAGGCTAAGGTCTAAAGTCTACAAGACATCATGTGCACTGAAGCTCCAAAGCACCTTGGTTTCCCAGCAAATCAAACTAACATCAGTGACTCCAAATGTGGACTGTAAGTGAGCCTGTGAGCACTGAGTCCCTGAAACCAAAATACCCATCCCCAGGGGTTTCTGTATACAAACAGGATCTCAAGATCAGTCTGACTGTTCCATCTCTTAAAGAACACCTAAGGGCACTGTTGGTTTGTGTCCTGCACCCCTGAAAACTGACCCCTGGAGAATGGGGCAAGGCAGCTACTTCAACTGCACTATTACAACATTAAACACTATGAGCCACAACTTGCAGTATCAGAGAAACACTGGGAAGTGAGTACGGTGGTAAGTTAGAGGGGCCTGTGCTCCAGACCTACATTGCTATCCCAAGTGCCTTAAACCTTAGTCCCAGGCTTAGTTCTGCTTTTAGAGGAGAAAGTCTCTGACCTCTAGTTATGCATCTAGCTATAAAGTGCCTTTGGACCTAGAATGTCAGCTACCGTCCAGCACCTGGGCCAAGGGGGCCCTTCCAGACTCTACCCACTTCTTTCTGCAGGGAAAGGACCAGTCTTTTTAGTCTTCCAACTCTCCAAGTGATATGTGACTTGAAACATGGGCTCTCACTGGAAGTCTGCCTCCCTGGGAGGGAGGCGGTATCTGCCTTCTTGCAGCTTGATTGCCTGTTTCCTGGTTTTATGATAGAACATAGAGAAAGAAGGCCCCAAAAGGAGTTGGGGGGCACGGCTCCATTCCTGTCTCTTGAAGGGGGAAGAGGTAAAAGAAGGCAGTGTTTAGTGATTGCCTGTTGGGTCCCTTTATGTGTTTGTTATGTGGGTCTCACAAAGGCCCCTTAAGGCAGAGGAGGATAGAAAGTCCCTACTTTTACCCTTTTTTTCTTTAGGAACTTTTGTTTATCAAGGACATATATTTTCTACCCATGACAGCATTCTAATACATGTATGACTTTTGTAGTGACTAAATAAAGCGCTGAGGCCTGTACTTCAGTGAGAGGTGGTCCTTCAGAGCTGCTCTGCTGGAGCAGATACTGCTGTCTGCCCCAGAGCTCAGCCCCACTGCTCGCCACCACCATCCATCTGGGGCCAGGATGGTGCTATCCACCTTATTTAAACCTGCCTCCAGACAGCTTGTACCTGTTTCAGAAACTCGTGCTTTGCCTGGAGGAGCATGTCCACAGCATTTCTCGCAGGTTCTAGAGCTGTCCACAAGAGGAGTGCCCTCTGCCGGTCAGTGCTGAGGCAGCAATCTTAGCCTGAGTGAAGCAACACTCACTTGAGTAGATATGTTCTCAGCTGTCTTAAAGAAAAGTCTGATAGGCATGTCCATTGGGTATGGGGTGTTCCTCCCTCTGTTCTTAACTGAGGTTAAGCCCGAATTTTAAAGCTTTTGTTTCCTGGGCCACAAAGGGTGATTACCAAGAGGAGGTAGCCATCATGCAAGGTCTTGGAACTGTGCTTCAGTGAGCTGTGAAGCCTGAGTTGCAGCACACTGGCAAGCAGGAGGCCTTGGAGTGCAGCACAGGGAAAGGAAATGAAAGCTGTGTGAGGTGGGAACCCCAAGCCCCACCAGCCAGTAGGCTAACACTCACAGGAAGAGCCTCTCTGGACAGGAGACTGCCAATCGGAAATGAGTCCACAGGATAGGAGGAAGCCCTTGGGTGGTGAGTGCCCAACCTGCTGTGAATTTGGCAAGATCCATGAACTCAGGGTGCTGGGTTCCCTGATGGTTCACAATTTAAATGAGGCCTTTGCTTATCAAATGAGGAATGAGAATGGAGTCCCCTCTTGTCTCAGCCTTTGGGAAAATCACCATGGGATGCTGACCAGTATTTGACATACTTTAACTCCTCCAAATTCCTGTCCTGTCCTCCAAGAATCACATGACCAAGAAGCCATAGGCACCCACCCCAAGTTTCCCCAGAAGTTGGAGTGAGGTAGAAGTGAGGACCTGCTGAGTGAAGGGCTCCTCTGCCCAGCAGGTTGCACTGGCTGCTTCAAGGTGCCAGGTGTGAAAAGGCCTTGGTTGTGTTTTCTGGCTCCCAGTGGATAGCTGTTGTGGGTAAATAAAACAGTGTACAGACTATTTGAAAGTCCCAGATGGGAGACACTTTTCAAAAGCAGTATTTTGTTAAACCAAGAAACTATGTTTACAGCAAAAAAAAAAAAAAAAAAAAAGAATCCAATGCCCTATTCCTCCCCTTTCAGTCTCTTCCTGGCCATACTTCATCTTCCACAGACTACCAATCACTTCATTACCTTTTCTCTAGTAACCTCAACTCCAATCCCCACCCACTCTACACTTCAACTTCACAGTTCCTGCAAACCTTCTATCTTATCTCTATACCACATTGTGATTCAGTTTTTTCATACAGGGAAAATCATATAAAGACAAATATAGAAATTGGGTCACTAAAATTCTCAGTTTCTCAAAACTATTCATAATTCTACTAATTATCTTTCATCAAGTACTATAGACCCCCAACACTTTTCAGATTTGTCAAAACTTACTCTTGGCAGATGAAGCTAATTCATATAACAATAAAAATAAAAACCTTTAGGTTCCTTCAACTGCCCAATCCTCTCTCCCTTCCTTTTTATGCCTTTATTTAACTATTTCTATAGAATGACTTCACTTATGAAAGTTATGAACCTCCAGATGGGTTCACTTATTCCAATATTTTAGTATCTTGTCAGGCCAGATATCCCCTCCTTCTGTATTTCAATATCTCTACTAATTCTTTACTACTAATCTATAAATATACTTATATTATTCAATTTAGAAAGAAGAAAGCAGAGAGAAGAGGGAAGTCAAAGAGAGGAAGAAAAGCAAAGGAAAAAGAAGGGGGGAAGTGGAAAAGGAAGGATGGAGTAAAGAAAAAAGAAATTCCCTTAATTCGTCTCCTTCCGTTTAAGCTAAAAACTGATTTTCATTTAGTCTTTCCACACTTCCTCCTTTTACTCCTCAGTCAGCTCCAATAAGGCTTCTACTGCTTTTTCTGCTCTGAAAAAGCTAACTGGCCTCACAACTGCAAATGCAATGAACATTGGAATCTAGCTCTAATGCAAGGCAACTGTACAATGTCAGGAATAGTCAATAGTTCTAAAATAAAAAAGTCAATGAATGAAAAAATTCCAACCCCAAGAATCCAAGTCTCCTGCCATCAAGAGCAGTTACCTTCCAGAAAACTAACATTTCCCATAATCAAAGTAATGATTTTAGGTGGCTTTTTTTTTGAGGGGGGTGTCTTTTATTTTTTGGAGCTGCGGATCAAATGCAAGGCTTTATGCATGCAAAGCAAGTGCTTTACCACTCAGCTACAGCCCAGCCCCAAATTAACAATTTTAAATTACTAATTTTAGCCAGGCACCATGGCATACAACTATAATCCTAGCAAGTTGGGAGGTTGAAGGAGGAGGATCACCAAGTGCAAGCAAGGCCACCTGGACATAGCAAGATCCTGTCTCAAAATTGAAAAAAAAAAATTAAAAAAGACTTGGGATGTAGCTCAGTGGTAAAGCACCCCTGGGTTCAATTCCTAGTACAATAAATAAACAAATAAATCACAAATTTTGTCACAGTATGAAGACTGTCCAGTCAAAAATTTCAAGTGACCTGGTTTCAATAATTGCAAATATCTTGATTGCCTTGATTTTATTTAATTGATGGGGGGAGAATATATTCATATTCCTCCCCTAGCTCCAATCTCAAAGCAAAATATCACTTAGCAATATGAGTCCTGTTATGATAGGAAATATGCAACATCACCTACTGTTCAAAGGAAACCCATGTATATATCTTCATGACCTTAGTTTAGGCAAAGATTTCTTAAGTACATCACCAAAAGCACAAGTAACAAAAGAAGAAATAGGTAAATCGAACTATATTAAAAATAAAACATTATGCTTCAAAGACCATGATGACAAAGGGGAAAACACAACTCAGAAAATGGAAGAAAATATTTGCAAATTATGTGTCTCATACGTAAAGAACTCATACAAATCAACAGTTTAAAATACATAATTTAAAAATGTGCAAATAATTTAAAAAGACATTTTTCACAGAATATATACAAATGATCAATATGGGCATGAAAAAATATTCAACATCATTAGATGATGCAAAAAAAAAAAACTGTGATATCACTTCATACTAAGTAGGATGGCTTTAATTAAAAAAAAATAGGAAAATAAGTGTTGATAAAAATGTGGAAAAATGAGAACCCTCATTGTTAGAGGGAATGTAAATGGTACAGCCACTGTGGAAAATAGTATGATCCTCAAAATTTAAAGGTGGAATTACCATAGGGCATAGCAATTCTACTCCCAGTTATGTACCCAAGAGAATCAAAAACATATTGCCCAGAGTTAGCCAAATTATCAAATTTGAAAGTATAAGTCCCTAAGATTGATCTCACCTCTAAAACCAACTGTAATTCAGATGGTTTCAAAAACTACCCTCAGCCAGGTGCAGTGGCACATGTTTGTAAACTCAGTGGCTCTGAAGGCTAAGACAGGAGGATCCTGAGTTCAAAGCCAGCCTCAGCAAATTTAGCAAGGCCCTAAGCAACTCAGTGAGACTCTGCCTCTAAATAAAATATAAAAAGGACTGAGGATGTGACTCAGTGGTTGAGTGCCCCTGACTTCAATCCCTGGTACCAAAAAAAAAAAAAAAAAAATTAAAATCAGTCAAAGAGTTAAAGACAAATGACAACTAAATATAATGGATAATCTTGGATTTTATTTTGCTACAAAGGGTATTTCTGGAATTATTGGGGAAACCTGAATAAGTAACAGTAACATACCAATAACTGCATCAATGTTAATTACCTATTTTGATAATACAATATAATTATGGAAGACAATACCTATATTTTTAGAAATATACACTAAAATATTTAAGAGTAACTTTCTCTTAAATTGTTATGCTCGAATTCGGGACCCCCAAAAGACCACCAGAGATCAAGATTGATGTAAACAGCAAAGAGGTGTTTATTTCGAGCTAGCTCGGTCCTCTGCACACGCGCACGCGCACACACAGCAACTGGTGACACTGAGAGGCCCCGAGCCCAGGGTTTGCAGCAGTTTTATACATTCTTTGGAGAAGGCAGGGACCTTCCCATACATGATAGCATTTCTTAGCAAATCATCACAACTCTAAAACATAATTAGCACATTCACTGGCGGGAACAAGTTGGGTAGGGGTGATTTGTCAGTACAAAATGGGTATTCATTTGAATTGATTGGTTTAAGCCAAGAGGGGTGTATGTGCTGAACTACATGGTTTCCCAACATGTTATCAACCACCATAAACTACTGGGAGGGTCATCTGGCATCCCAGGTATTTCCTGGTCTCCTGCTGATTGACGGTTGCTAGGGGGTTGCTATGGATCCCCACCTAGCCTGACTGAGTCAGGGACACCTGGCACAGCAGATCTCTCCAGTTATTTGTAGATAAACAACTTATCAGGGTGGGAATGTGCCTAGGAGTGCTCTGTGGGTCTTTCCAAGGACAAAGGTGATGTCCCTTCCTTGGAAAGGCTTTGCTCTGAGGTAGAGGCTGGTTTTTCAAAATAACTCATTCATCAATAAAAAAGAGAGATATCGACACAGATAAACATGGGGAAATTTTAAAAGTGGAAGGCAAAAAAATATATGTATAGAACAGACAAAAATTCTTTGCCTTGCACCTTTTTTAAAGATTTTTTTAGTTGTAGATGGACACAATACTTTTATTTTATTTATTTATTTTTATGTGGTGCTGAGGATCGAACCCAGGGCTAGGCAAGCCCTCTAGCACTGAGCCACATCTCCAGCCTTGTGTCTTGCACCTATAAAAGAAAAATATCCTGTTCTCACAGTTCATAAACAAGAAGCATAAGGAAGGGAAGATAACTATGGAGAGAATGAAATTTCAGATAAAATTTAAGTCAAACTAGGAATTGTTTAATCAAGAAAACTGAAGAGTAGGAGGAAACACAAGTGAATACATTCACTAGAACTAAAGGGAAAAATTCTTAAAAGTTTTTAAAACACTACTAAAAGGAAAGATTATCTTAGTAACTAACTGAACTTACCATCACAAGAGGAAACAAAAACTAAAAATGCATCATAAATTAAAAATATAAACAAATATAAGAATCAATTAGAAAAATTCATTCATAGCAGGTCATTGAGGAAACCTGGAAATATTATGCACATATTTCTAAACTTTAGAATCAGATACAAAAGAAGGCAAAAAGTTTTGTCCTGTGACAATACTGCCCAGGGTTATAGAAATAATCCTGAACTGGTTTAGGCAGTAGCTTTACAATAAGTAAAAATTATATATATATATATATATATATATATATATATATATATATATATATATATATATATATATATATATAGTTTGTTTGTTTTGTTTCTTGGTACTAGGGATTGAATCCAGGGGCATTTTGCCACTGAGCCACATCCCCAATCCTTTTTATCTTTTTTTTATTTTGAAATAGGGTCTCACTAATAGGGTCTTGCTAAATTGCTGAGGCTGGTCTTGTGGTCTTGACCTTACTATCCTCCGGCCTGAATCTCTCTCTCAACTGTCTGGGATTACAGGTATGCACCACTACACCCAGCAAAATACATTACTTTAAACATTCCAGTGCAGTTCAAGAGAATCATCTAATTAAGGAAGTTAAAACTTAAAAATTGCTTAAAAGCATTTTAGTAGTTACAGGTAACCTGTATCATAATGTTTATAGTATATTAAATTAGAATGTAAAAAGGACTAAATTTTTTTTAATAATTTTTTTAGTTATACATGGACAAAATATCTTTATTTTGTTTATTTATTTTTATGTGGTGCTGAGGATGGAACCCAGGATCTCACACATGTGAGGTGAGCGATCTACCGCTGAACCACAACCCCAGCCCTTATAGTTTTTTTTTTTTTTTTTAATATTTATTTAGTTTTTGGTGATGGAATGTAGGTGGGAAGGGTTGGGACACAGGTGGGCCAAAGAAGTAATCTGGGCACTTCCAAGTCAAGTTTGCTGTTCATTAACATTTCTTTGGGATGAGCTATCCTAAATCTGTTGGGGGCTGTTTCCTGGGCTTAATTAACATTTCTTTGGGATGGGCTGTCTTCAAATCTGTTGCTGCCAGTTTCATGGGCTTCGTTAACATTCCAAGAGTTTCTCAACTTTTCCAGAAATTCATTCTCAACATGGTCTCCATTTTAGATTTCACTGGATATTAGACCCAATTTACCTAACTACACTGACTACCTAATTTTAAATCTGGCTTCAACAGTACAGGCAACAATAGTATTTAGACTCAAATTTCTAACAAAGTGAATTACTTGATCTCACTGAGCCCCAAAGTTATCATTTTTATAATGTCTCAGTTTATATAATTAAATGAGATAATCTATATGAAATGTTGTGCACAAGGCCTGACATACAGCTTGCATAAATACTAACTGATAGTATTGGTGATAGGGATCCTTTTGATCTTGGTTCCCCCTTGATAGTCACCATGTGTGAGGAAGGAGGTCGTTGCTAGTATGATCTAGAAATTTAGACAAGAAAACCGAAACACTGTGCAGCTAAATAGCAGTCATGAAAGACGCATCCTTCAGGGGAAAGAGAAAAAAAATTTTTTCTAAGACTCAATGGGCGCCGCCATGTTGCTGTACGGAAAATATTTCCACAGTGCCCCAGAGCACTCAGCCTATTCCTTGGTGGCACAGGACCTTGGGTCTTTAGAGCTAACTTTGATGGTCAATCCAGACCTGATAGAGGAAGCTTCAGAGTGCCCGCAAGGCGTAGAGGCGCCATCAGCACGTAGAGTTCCAGCAAAGAAGAGCGGCGCCTACGAATTGCGTTGCGCGTTACATAATGCGTGATGACATCAACTCCTCTAGTGGAGATTTTAAAATTCAAACCTTCTGGGTGGGCAGAGGCAGAAGCTCTTGTTTTAGTATGTAGCGAAGAGTAATTGCACAAATTACAGAAATTCGTCCGCTGAGCCTTGTCAGGAAACTGGAAGAAAGGTAACTAATAACATTCAGTTCTTTGTTAGTGCGAAACTATTCTGGAGGGAGAAAGTGATGGAGAGGGGCAATCTGTTAGTGTTTGCTGCCACAAGAGGCCTAGGGCTGAATCTGAGTCCAATAAATTTAAACTAGCAATGATTTTTCCGGGAAGGAGGGAAGAAACTAGGGGACTCTGTAGAGAATAGAGACTGGAGCGAGGGAAGAGAGTGGGAAGAGAAGGACAAGAGAGAAACTGTGGAATGTGGGCCCAGAAAAGTAATAGGATGACCACGAATGTACAATTTCCTGGATGCCAGGGCAGGATCTGAGAAGGCTAGACAGGGTTAATTTTCAGGAATTTTGCTACCATGAATATTCTTGTGAAGGCAGGGATCAGACATTATTCTTTGTATTTCCTGTGTTACCTGACACACTCCCTTGTACATGGTAGGGCAGTTAGTAAATTGTGTGTAGAATATTTTAAAATGAATCTAAATAGGTATTCTTTGAAGACCTCAGTGTACAGGAACAAGAAAGTGAAAGATTATCTTGAAGATGAACCTAGTTGCTTTTATATTTGAGGATAAAGATATTAGTTATTGCCTAGTCTACTTTTGTTCTAAATCTGAAACATTTTTCTAATACTGAATTCATGATTGTAGTTCATAAGCATGAAGTGCAGTTCATTTTCCACTGCTGGTGCTGGCTGCCTCTCTATGCAAGAGTCAAGATCTCAGGACATGAATAAACAAGGCCTTCATACTCCTCAAAGTAAGTGCTGCCATCTGTGGTCCTAATCTGTATTTCTTTTTTGTCTTAGGCAAAGAAATGATAAAATGGTTAATATAAAGATGTAGTCTGTGTAATGTGTTAGTGAATCCTATCTGTTCCCAGTGGTACCTAATTTGGGATCAACAATACTAAGCACTAGGCCTGATACCGGTGTTTCTTAAATTCCAAAATCCTCTTTTATAATTGTTTTTCATATTTTTAATTGGTACATTATAGTTGTACATAATGGTGGGATCTTCTTTTATTATACAGCTTCTTATTTAAGCAGATCCTGTGCTGTGACTTTAAATTTACTGAGATGTTTCCAACTACCAAAATTCTTCATCAAATCAAAGCAATGTCATTTGCTCTGGTGATAAGCTAAAATGTACTAGCAACCTACAGAACAACACTTTTTCAAAGATTTACAGGGAAAAGAGTGCCCAAATGAACTTGCTATATAAACTGTATTTTTTCCCTTTATAATTGATTTTCTTACAGTGGACAGAAGAACACTATAAGCCACTGTAGAGCTGTATCAATTCTTCTCTAATACTTAGGTACAAGTTACTTGCTGGCTGTTCTTAAATTATTTAGGTTTAACATACTGTGAATTTCTATACCTTTAGAAATGTGAAATATTTATTTTCCTTCTGAATACTTTAACAGAATATTTTGTTGTACATTACATCAAAAGATTTTAGATATTTAATTGTATTAGGTTTGAAAAGGTTACCATCATCAATGTTTTTTGTCTGTAATTCAAATATTGTATATGAAGCGCAGCTACATTCTAACAGTGAGCTTTAAAAGAAAAAAAAGTCTCAAAAGTAACTATCATCCTGTGATTGAATATATCTATTTGTACATTTTGCCTTTTTCTATAAGGTTGTTGTCTGTAAATGTACATATTTTAAGATAAAATCATAATGTAGATAAGAATTTTGTTCTGCTTCTTAATATTTTAGTACTATGATTTATACTTTTAGCTTATCCCTATCATAACAGCTGTGGTTGCTGCTAAAATTTTTCATGATTTTGAATAATTTTATAGGTAATAGGGAGGAGGTATTTATTCCAACATATTTCCAAAAGTTTCTTGAGCTGATTAAAGTGTTGTTTTCTGTTTTTCTTAAAGCAAAGAGAAACCAGCCTCTGGAAAGTTCAGTATAAATAAACCTGCATCTGAAAGAAAAGTCTCTATATTTGGTAAAAGGTAATGTTTTAAATGATTAACTTTTTAGGTTATATCTGCTTTAGATGGTAATAAGAGATAAATTAACCCATTCAGACCACTATTTTATTGTTACATGTGAATAATTGGAAGTTTTATACCTAGCACTCAAATACTATAGTAAAGTGAGGAACTAATCCCACATTTGAATCTCATCTTTTTCATACTCTTAATGAGAACTCCAAGGAGCATTTGTTGTATGGGCTTTATCTATCAATATTAGCCATTTAAAATTAACACTGCAAAGATTTATATATATATATATATATATATATATATATATATATATATATATATATATGTGTGTGTGTGTGTGTGTGTGTGTTAATTCAATTTAAAATAGCAATAAGACTATTACATAGTAAAGTAAATAATGTGTTTTTAATGTTAAAAAACTTGTTTCCAAAAACAAAACTATTTCAGAGAGAAGAGTGACATTGTTTTCCAGTTTTGCAAATCCCTTTTAATATGTGGTTTTATAGAAGAAAGGTAGATTCTCATATCTGCTTCTGAAGTCTATTAGAATATTTTGCATCTTACAGCCAGCCTCTGGAAAACTTTACTATACACTCATGGATAAAATGAGCCAGGCATAGTGGTACATGCCTGTAATCCCAGCACCCGCTGAGGTATATCAAAGATCACAAGTTCTAGGCCAACCTCAATAACTTAGCAAGACCCTCTCTCAAAATAAAAAGGTCTGGCCAGACATGATGGCTGGAGACAAAAAACAGTGTCTCCTCACAAGGCAGTTTTGAGGATTGATTGAAGGAGATGAAAATATTTATAAGATCTAACATTTGTTGAGCATTTCTAAAGCCCAGATATTAAGTGCTTTTCTATGTTAACTCTTAATCTCCAAAGGCAGATTTCCCACAAGAAATAGTGGTAAATGATGATTTGCAGGGAACAATTATGGAGGGGTAAATAAAAGCATAAGGACTTGGGTTATTGAATAAACATGCAGAATAGTTGGTGCAGAAGATCTTGTGGACTCCGTACACATTAGAGGAGAGTTTATGTGTTGTTACTGAAAAGTATCAGTTTATTTTTACCCCTGCCTTACTTTCTATCTAAATTTTCCTTTAACTGTTGTAACTTCATGTTTTACATTCTCTCTACTTTATTTATTTATTTATTTAGTACTGGGAATTGAACCCGGGGCATTCAACCACTGAGGCACATCCCAAGCCCTATTGTATTTTATTTAGAGACAGATTCTCACCAAGTTTCTTAGTACCTCACTTTTACTAAGGCTAGCTTTGAACTCATGATCCTCTTGCCACAGCCTCCTGAGCCACTGATTTTACAGGCATGCACCATCACGTCCAGCTCTCTCTACTTTAAATAATAGAATTCTGAATTCTGTTTAAGTAAATAAAGATTAAAAAATTAAATTTTAATGCTTGGTGCCAATGTTAATAATAATAATAATAATAATAATAATAATAATAATAATAATAATAATAACAACAACAACAACAACAACTTAGACTTGACCACAGAAAGAAATATCTTTGACTTTAAAAACTATGTTTTCAGAACTAGTGGACATGTATCCCGGAATAGTCAAATTGACATATTTTCCAGTTCTGAAAACATCACGGACCCAAGACCACTTAATGACAAAGCATTCATTCAGCAGTGTATTCGACAACTCTGTGAGGTATTTTATAATTTAATAATAATTGTGAATTTCCTCTTAGGTATTTTCCAATAATTTTACTATGACAAAATATTTGATGTTTCATAAAAGTTATTGTAGTTTCTTACAGAAAATGGTTATGCATATAGTGTATGCATGAAATCTCTACAAGCTCCATCTATTAAAGACTTCCTGAAGATCTTCACTTTTCTTTATCGCTTCCTGTGCCCTTCATATGAACTTCCTGACATAAAGTTTGAAGAAGAGGTTCCAAAAATCTTTAAAAACCTTGGGTATGAACATTATATTTCTTAGTCTGGGGAAATTATTGGAACCTAAAAACCAAATTCAATAAATTTAATGTTTGAGTTAGAAAAGTAACATGTTTTAAGATGATTATTGTAAACAGTACATATAGAATGAATAGAAGAGGAATTATACTGTGGATATATTAGTCTGTTTTGTGTTTGTACTGTATAACAAATACTGAAACAAAGTAACTTATAAAGAACAGGCATTTATTTAGCTCATGGTCTAGGGGGTTAGAAAACCCAAAAGCATGGTGTCAGCATCTGCTCTGCACCTTGTGAGGGCTGGATCATGACATGGAAGAGGGTATCACATGGCAAAACAATACAAATGTGTCAGAGAGATCTGACTTTTATAATAAAGCCAGTCTTTCAATAACATTCTTCTAGATGGATTAATCCATTCATGAGGGCTCTGCCAGTCACCACCCAAAAGTCCCACCTCTGAGTATCATTAACATCTGATTTTATGGATTAAGTTTCCAATCCATGAATTCTGGGAGATGAACATTCACACCATAGCAGTAAGTTAGTACAGAACTACATGTGATAGAGCATGAAGCCCTAAACTGCCGAAGTGATGGGGTAGAAAGTACAGGCTGGTTACCACAGTTTTTTTTTTTTTTTAAATAAATATTTTATTTAGTTGTAGTTGAACAGAATACATTTATTTTAATTCATTTTTATGTAGTGCTGAGGATCGAATCCAGCACCTTGAACATGCTAGGCAATGCTCTACTGCTGAGCCATAACCCCAGCCCTGGTTTTATGGATACAAAAACAACATCATTGAGGTCTAATGGAGTGAATATGAATTTGGAAAGGGCTAAATAGAGTAAACACAGTGTTGGATTTGGGAATGAGTAGTTCTTACACGTGGTTTATTGAATTTAGGGAAACAAAAGATCTTTTGATAGGACTCCAACATGCTTATTATAAATCAAATTCCACATATTAAGGGTTTATAGATACAAATTAATCTGCTTAGAAGAAACCAAAAATACACAAAATCATTTTGGAGAGTTAGATGACTAGCACAGAACCACAACAAAATATTTTCTAAACAAGTTAAAATAATGGAATGTGGGGAATTTTTAAAAAGTAACATCTTGCTTAATTTGCCAATTATTTTTACCATATTAATATAAGCTTTTTTTTTTCTCCCCCTGCAGGTATCCTTTTGCACTATCCAAAAGTTCCATGTATACAGTGGGAGCCCCTCATACTTGGCCTCACATTGTAGCAGCCTTGGTTTGGCTAATAGACTGCATCAGGGTATTTGGTTTCACCTTTTAAATGTACGCATAGGAAAGTTTGGGTTTTTTCTCTAAAAGGTAGTCCTATTTCTCTCCCAGTCTTGCTTTTGCCACTTATCTCAAGTCTGCTTCAAAGTTTTCATTTTTCAAAGTACATTTAAGTTCCTGAGACTATCAACGTATGTCATGAGAGGTGAGGGAGATAAAGTTCATGTTGGAAAAGAAGCTGGGACTACAAGTTCTCCCCACTATACCCAGCTATTCCTTTAATTTCCCTCTTTAGGGTTCCTCCATACAGACAATTGTCAAGATTAAACAAATCAAAACCTCACACACTCTAGGCAAGCACTCTGCAACTAATCTATACTCCCAGCCGCATTGTTTTTAATAGTTGGCAATATAACAAGTAAAAAAAAAGATAAATAATATTTTCACATTTGCATTTTGTGCTATTTTATTTGTTTTTGTTGTTGTCGTTTGTTTTAACTGTGTTAGGGATCAATTCCAGGTGATTGTTAGGTAAACAGTCTATCATTGAGCTATATCCAACCCAAGATTGTCATTGTCTAGTTCAAAAATAATTAATTTAGGGCTGAAAACATAGCTCAGTGGTTGACCACTTGCCTAGCATACATGAGACCCTGGCTTCCATCCCTAGCACTACAAAAAAACAAAAACAAAAACAAAAAAACATATAAAGAAATTAGCCCCTGTCTATATTCCCTGTTTTTTCCTTTTGATATTATGTACTATGTTTTGACTATTCTGAATTATGAATTTTCATCTAGTCTAATGTTGTCTCTTTCTTTTGTAGCTTCTGAGTTTCCTGTCCTACTTAGCAATAGAATTCTTAAAACCAGTATGGTCCCCTGACATTTTCTTGGTCATCAAAAGCCCTTAAGTAAATGTAAGTAGGCAGTGGGTGGATGGATTTTGACCCAAGAACCATGCTAGTACATGGAGCATCAGCAGTTGTCAAAAAAAAAAAAAAAAAAATATATATATATATATATATATATATATATATATATATATATAAATCCAATACCAGCGTCTATTAATAAAGCACAAATTATTGGACTTTAAATGTAACATTTATACATTTAACTTGTCTCACATACCCCATGGACATGGTAATCACCTCTGCATTCTTGCTATCAGATATCCCTATTAGCACTGGAATACTTCAACCTTATTTGCCTAAGCATCTTAGGATTTTGTTAAGTGGTTGTGAGATAACATCTCCAGATGTACAGGAACTGCTGTGACTGGTCAGAGAGAGACCTCTTTTTTGGACAGTACTAGGATGTCTATCTAGGGCCTCACACATTTCAGGCAATCATTGGAGCACTGAGCTTCATTCTCAGCCCTTTTTATAACTTATTTTGAAACAGTCTTGATAAATTGCCCAGGCTGGACTCCAATTTGTGATCCTCCCACCTCAGCCTCCTGAGTTGCTGGTTTTATAGACACTGCATCCAGCTAGAAAAAGAGATCTCTTGAGATGCCTCCAAGCCCATTATTTAGGTTGGAATCCCCTCTTTCCTATCTTGCTTTTCTCAATGTGATAAAATTGAACACTGCAGCAACATAGAATCAATGAGACACTATAGGTTTCTTGTTCTAATTGTCTTTCCCATTTAATCTTAGAAATTTTAGTCACACCTGGGAAGGCCTCCTTTATTCCCTGGTGTTTTTTTGTTAGTTTGTTTTGTTTTTGCTTGTTTGTTTGTTAGTTTTAATGCCTCCAGTTATTTTTCCCAGTACTTTTATGGCTTCTTTGTGTTTTTCTTCTTCTTCTTTTTTTTTTTTTTTTGTTTTTTGGTGGTTGTGTTTTTTTTCTTCTTTTTTTTGAGACAAGGTCTCACTGTGTTGCCCAGTCTTGTCTCAAAATCCAGAGCTCATGTGATCAGCCTCCCAGATAGCTAGACTCCAGGTGTATGTCAATGCACCCAGCTTTGTGTTGTTTGAAACCTTTATCCCTCTGAAATTTATTTTAGCTTAAGAAAAATAAAGCATTATTTTAAACTCACTCACATATCTTAGTAACATTTACTGAATAACCTATTGTTTCCCAACAATTTGGAACTGTTCTTAATGTATTCTTAGATCCATTTTTCTGTTCTCCTATCCCTGCAACATGAGCATTCTAATTGCTTTGCTTTCTAACATATTTTATGTAGTAGAGGCAGATTTTTATTGTTTTTCACAAGTTATCTAGCTATTCTCAGATCCTCACATTTAAAGCCATTTTGCTTTTGCTCCCCATCGACATCACATTGAATTCATAGATATATTGGGGGTAGGGGATTTCTATCTTGACAATATTCAGCCTCATCATGTGGAAAAGTAGTCAATCTCTTTTTTCCTATCTCTTTTGCTCCTTCAGTTTTATTATTTAGTTTTAATGTATTAAGATAGAGATAATGTTTTTCATGTTGAAGTTCATCTGCTTTAATCAGGAATGGGTAAAGGTTGTTTTATGCTTTTGCAGGATCTATTGAGAGTATGCTTTTCCTCTTGACCTGGTTTCCTAATAGTGTTACCGCTGTTGACCTTGCTTCCCCAATGTTGAAGAATAACACCAGAGAGCACTCGGAGGCAAGGTCAGAGTAGAAATTAGAAGTTTATTAAAGGACAGCAGAAAAGACTTCTCCCAGAGGAAGAAGGGGACCCAAGAGGTGGAATCCAGTTGGCAGGCAAATGTGTTTCCCTTTTTTTAGGTTTGGTGATGGAATGTAGGTTGGAAGGCCCGAGGGGTGGGACACAGGTGGGCCAAAGAAGTAATCTGGTCAGGAAGGACTTCTGAGTCAGCACCTTTTTGCTGCAGGCTGTTCATTAACATTTCTTTGAGGTGGACTTTGGCTTAGGGCCTTTTCAGGACTTCATTAACATTCCATGAGTTGTCCTGTGTTTTCCCTGAGTCATTCTCCACACGGTCTCCATTTTAGATTTCACTTGATATTAGACCCGATTTACCTAACTACACTGACTACCTAATTTTAAATCTGGCTTCAATAGCCTCTGTTTGTTCATTGTTTATTGTTCTTTTGCTACACTCCCAAATTGCTTGTTAATATTTCATAAAGTTTGTTTCTTCTTTCATTCTCTCTATGCCTCCTTTCAGAGCTTGGCACATAATCAGTTTGAGTGGCAGTAGTTTAGAAAGTCCCCCATCTCCTCTACTGATGACCATAAATAGGAGGTTGTATGTGCCCCTAGAGTTCCCTGGTAGCCTTTGTTTAATGATCAAGGGGGCAGAGCCTGATTTATCTCATATCCCTCTGCATGCTTTCTGCCTGAAGTTTCACAATCTTGAGAAGTGGTAGTATTTTGAAAAAATGTAATCTTTAGCTGAAAAAAATGCCTCAAGTGTATTTGCTGTACTGTGGATGCACATTCCTGAAGAGTAACCAGGTCAATTTTAGCTTTACCACATGAGAAAGAAAGCAAGATAAATAACGCTTTTTTTTTTTTTAAGAGAGGAAAGTTCCTAGTAATCTAATACAGAATGCATCTAGTGAGCTACTTTATATTTCTGTATGTAATTTAGCATATAAATTAATTCATTTACCCATTCAAATTTTTGTTGTATATCTAGTATGTGTTAGGCATCATTTAGACACTGGGGATACAGTAACAAATATGAGATTAAAAGAATCCTTGCCCCTATAAACTTACATTCTAATAGAAAGAGAAGTAATAAATAAACAACTATAAATCAAGTGGTGATTAGTGCTATGGAGAAAAATCCAGTAGGGTATGGGAAATAGAAAGTATAGTGCAGGGCTGGGATTGTGGTAATGCACTTGTGTAGCATGTGTGAGGTACTGGGTTCGATCCTCAGCACCCACATAAAAATAAATAAAATAAAGATATTGTGTTCATCTACAACTTGTCCGGTGGAGCTACCCAGAGGCTGAAGCAGGAGGATTATAAGTGTAAGGCCAGCCTTGGCAAAACTTTGTGATTTGACCAGAGAGATAGAAGGCAAAAAATATTGTGGCCTGAGTCTTATGAAGTTTTTTGGGTTTTTGTCTCCAGAGGATTTATATAATGTAGATGCTTCCAAGCTGGAATCATTAGCAGCAAAAAACAAAGCATTGAATGAACAAATTGCAATATTGGAACAAGAGAGAGAAAAAGAGCTGGTAAGTAAATGTGTTTATGTGCTTCCTTGAGAGCTCTTATAGATTCTTGGTCTCCTTAGAGAATACTGGCTGTTTTTATCAAAAATTTTTTGAATGAGCTAACAAAGTAAGCTTCTTAAAAGTTAAGTATTACATAGAATAAATTCCCATTGAAAACATGTTTGGTATCTATGGAGTTTTTTTTTTTTCCCTTAGGATCTATCAGTCTTTGACTAATGGTGTTCAGAATATGATGAAAGGTTTCTACCTTTTTACATAAGACCAGAAATAGCTTTTGAACAAAGTCCCCATGGTATATATCTCCAAGGAACAATATTAACAAGAAGCCCTGAGTTTTATAGTTACTATAAAAAGGAATAGTGATATATCTGACTTACATATTATCCTAAGTGTTTTCTAAAGACTAAATTAAAATACTGATATTTTAATTTTATTTTGTGTATTACTAACGAAGCACCCAGGCTGTTCTATAAAATAAACAATTTTAAATGATAGTTTTTTTTTTTTTTTCTCTTTGGCCCTTGTGGGGATTTTTTGTTTTTTGTTTTGTTTTGTTTTGTTTTTATATTCTAAACTGACTTATTGAAAAGTCCATATCTTTATATAGGTAATAATAATATAGTGCTCTTTCATTTGATTCCTCCTAAAGTGAAAGGGAATGCTGATTAAACTTTCTCTAAGATGAATTTAATAACATTGTTTTCTTTTAAAATAAAGTATGGAATGATTATTGATGAGAATACTAATTTAATATTCTTTTCTCTTAAAGAACAGTATAGAGTCATTAAGGAAGTTGAAAACTTCCTTACAAGCAGATGTTCAGAAATATCAGGCATACATGAGTAATTTGGAGTTTCATTCAGCCATTCTGGACCAGAAATTAAATGATCTCGATGAAGAAATTGCTAGAGTAGGTAAGCACAGCTAATGCTGAAAGAAATCATTCAGATGAGTATTGTCCCATATATGCCAAGACCTTTGTTATTTATATATATGTTGCTTCTATGGTAAATTTTTATAGCTGGTTACCAAGTTTCCAATGCCTTTTCTGTTCTCTGAAGCTGCTGTAACAAATTACTACAAACTTGGTAGTTTAAAACAATAAAAACTTACTCAGTCTATAGTAGTTACTGATGTTGTATGTCCAAAAACCAATAGCACTACCCTCCCCCCAAGGACTTAGGGTGAATCTGTTCCTTGCCTCCTCCAGCTTTTGGTATTGGACAGTGTTCCCGAGCTTGTATAAACATCACTACATTCTCTGATTCTCTGCCTTCATCTTTATATTGCCTTCCCTGTCCTTCATCTTTATATTGCCTTCCATGTGTGTCTTTTTTTAAAGATGATGAGATGGAGTTGCCAGATTACCTAGGCTGGCCTTAAACTTGCTATCCTCCTACCTCAGCCTCTCAAGGAACTGGGATTAAATGCTTGTGCCACTGTGTTCAGTTTTCTTCTGTGTGAAGTCTCCCTCTGCTTTGATGTTACACAGATGCTTGTGATATTTAGAGCCCACATGCATAATCCAGGGCTATCTGCTTGTCCTAGTATTCTTAATCATATCTGCAAAAATCCTTTTCCAAATAAAGTAATGTGTACAAGTTCCAGAGATTAGGACTTCATATATTTGTGTCGCCATCATTCAACCTCCTCCACTTTTTCAAGCACAAGCTCTCTAAAGTCAACAGGGACCTACCCTAAGAACACATGCTGCCTGATATGAGTGTGTGTGTGTGTTATTCTATATTTTTTCGATTCTGCTTTGTAATTAATAAGCCAGACTCTTGATCTCTGCCTGTTTCAGTGTGCTCTTACTCTCCATTGCTACAATAAAAGCAGCTCAGCAGCTAAATCTGAAAATAAGATGAAAAGATGCAAATACTACAATTCTCAAGAAGCAAAAGCACAACTAAAGAAACTTTGTTTGTATCCTGAGTCTCCCTATCCTTGTTTTCATAAACACATATCCATCTTAATTGTAAAATTGGCAAATACTGTGGCACATGTATTTGATAGCATCTAGAAGGAGAGCAAACGAAGGTATCTGCAAATCACAAAACTGTTGGGCTACAGTTTAAAAGTAAATACTTTCTCAGGAATTGGCCTTCTTGTATTTTATTTTAGGACTTTATAAGTTGAGTCTGTACCATGCAGAAATTATATTGATAATCCTCAGGAATTTTGATTTAACTCAGTCTATGGAGTATTGATCATCTGTCAAGTCAAGGCTTGTAATTATCCCAAGAATTTGCTAAATCAGTTTTTTTTTTTCCCAAATGACTGTGATTATGTATGTTTAATTTGCTCTATACAAACTAAACTAGTCACTATCCTTTGTTCTCCACCATGACAAGGAACCATAACTAATTTATTATTCTAACAATGTTTGTAATGTAATTAAGTCAATACTTTCTAACATTAATACAGTCTGTTCCTTATTAGCATATAATTAAGAGAATTGTCATATTTCCTACTTATGAAAACTTTTTCCCCAAAGTTGCAAACTGAATAGATAAGAGAGTAATATTTCAGCTATCATTTGTCATTTCAAAGTGGTTTAGTTTGAGAGATTAATTTTTTAACAATTAACCTAAGATGTCTTAATTCTTGGGAGTATTTTAACTTTCTTGATTATTTAAAGTCATTTGTAGCCAAGACTGTAAAAGAAATATTTAAACTCTAAACATATTTTTGAATATGTTTAGAGTTTTGTATTTGTGATAAATACATACAGTGTTACCTAAATCAACATTAATTTATTTTAAGTTCAGATGAGGAGCTTCCCAAATAATGAGCTTGGGCTATAGATAGGTTATAACAAAGTTGAGCCAGACATGGGGTACACACCTGTAATCCCTACAGCTCAGGAGGCTGAGGCAGGAAGATCACAAGTTCAAAGCTAGCTTTAGCAACTTAGCACAGCCCTGCAACTTAGCAAGAACTTAGTAAGACCCTGTCTTAAAAAAGAAAAAGAAGTGGGGATATAAGTAAGTGGTTAAACAACCCTGGTTTTAATTCCTGGTACCAAAAAAAAAAATGACATATTGGTCCTGTCAGCACTCAAGATGATGTTCTTTACCCAGTTAGTCAACTCCTTCCCTTTATCCCAACCTGTTATAAAAATATTATCATATCTGTGTAAGGCATGAGTCATAGGATGTTGGAAAATACTGATTTATTTAATTAAAAACTTTATCTTTTTAAATATATTTTAGATATTCATGGACCATTTATTTATTTATCTATCTATCTATATATTTATTTATTTATGCACATGGTAGGCTAAGCAAGTGCACTACCACTAAGCCAGAACCCTAGCCCTAAAAACTTTATTTTAATGAAATAAAGTTTTTATATTTGTGGATGTGGTTTTTCTGGCTATTTGAAGAGTCATCTATTGGGCCTGGAGTTGTGGCTCTGTGATAGAGTGCTTGCCTAGCATGTGTGAGATACTGGGTCTGATTCTCAACACTGCATACAAATAAATAAAAAATAAAGGTCCACTAACAACTAAATATTTTATAAAATAAAAAAATAAAGTTTATTTTTTTAAAACAGTCATCTATTAAAAGCATTTAAATGAATATTAAGAGAAACAGACTACCCCTCTTACCCCTCTTAAGTACAAATATTCTTAATTGTAATTATTATGTATTAGGTTACAGTTTTTCCATATACTACTTTCTGAAAACCATAGTAAGACAATAGAGAAAAATAAGATACTAACAGAACTTTAACTGTATTATTTCTAAGAATGTTATTAGCAAAGTGAGACCTAAATTAGCCAAAAGAAGAAGAAATATGTGTACACACAACTTGGATAGTTAGACATCAGTCCTGTTAAATAATGGCATCAGTTTTCTTGTATGAATTGAAGAAGTAAAAAGTTTGTTTTTTTTCCAATTCAGAACTAGAATGTGAAACAATAAAACAGGAGAATGCATGTCTACTGAATGTTGTTGATAACCAGAAGTATTCAGTTGCAGACATAGAGAGAATAAATCATGAAAAAATGAATTGCAGCAGACCATTAATAAATTAACCAAGGAGCTGGAAGCTGAACAACAGCAGTTATGGAATGAAGAGTTAAAGTATGCCAGAGGCAAAGAGGCAGTAAGTCGTACCATTTTTGGTGGCAACTCATCAGAGTTGACCTTTTTAAAGGTCTGTTCCAATTAAGAAGAACTTGGAGGGTAGACTAAATTGGCTAAAGAGGTAAAATTGTCTAACATTGACATTTAGCATGACTAAAATACTCATTACTTTTATGTCAATTCAGTAACACTTTCTCACAGTCATATTTAAGGTATACTGTATTTTATAACAGTGAATGAAGAAATAAACAAAAAAAAATCTCTCTTAAGACCATGAAATAATTTTCATAAATCCTATCTGAAGAGGAAGAAATGAATCCCTCTTCATTTACCTATTCACTCTTCATACAATTCTGTAACAGCCACTGTGTGCCACTTACTCTGCTGAGCATAGGGGAAATAAAGATAAAAATGTAAAGACTCTTCCATCAAGAAACATCTGACCTAGACCAACATAGTGGCAAATGCCCATAACCCCAGCCTCTCAGAAGGCTGAGGCAAGGATAACAAAAGTTTGAGTCCAGCCTCAGCAACTTAGCAAGACAGTGTTCCAAAACAGAAAATAAAGATGACTGGCCATGTAGGTCAGTGGTAGGGTTCCCCTGGGCTCAATCCCCAGTGCAATACTGCCAAAAAGAAAGAAAGGAATCTCCTTATATTTTCTACTGTGAGATCAAATTCTAATAGATATTTGCACAAGGTGCTAAGGGACATATAGTATAACTAACCCAGATTTAGTGTGCATGATGTGGGGATATGGATGAGAAGGTTTTTAGAAAAGGCTTCCTTTTATCTACACTTCAAATTGAATTAGAAAATATAAGAAAGAGTTAACATGGCAACTCTTTTTTGCATGAATTAGCAAAAAAGGAATATATGGGAAAGCTCAGACTAAGCAGCCTAATGTACAAGCTTTTCTTGTAGTTTAAAAGACCAAACTTTTCTTGTAGTTTATAAGACCTGAAAACTCTCAGAACTTAAAAATTATAAAGAAGTATAATCACCTCTTCAGAAAAGTGTTATTTTTGGCAATGTGAAAAATGTGTTGGAAGGGAGCAAAACCGTTAAATAAGGATCTGTATCAGTAATCTAGGGAGAAATCACAAGCTAAATGTAGGCAATGCTAATAGGGATTCTAAGAAGTGAGTGGATTCTAGCTACTCATGAGGTACAGTAAATGAGATAGATGAAGGAGTAGGGGAGCAGCCATGTGTCTAGCTTGCACAGTTGGTTGAGTAATAGTACCACTCACTTGGGAATAGAAGAGAAATAGGAAATATGTCAGGAATGGGGACAGATGTATTGTTTATATGTGGCATCCAGGACATAATAAATTATTGTATATATGGGTTTAGACTTCAGCATAAAATAACCAAATTACTTAGCCTAATCTTAATTTTATAGATAGTACTTTAATACTTTAGCCAACATTGTTGATAAAGTAGACTTTCTGGCCATATGAATTTCTAGGTAATGAAAAGTTACTCTTATTTTTGTAGGCAGTCTTCATTATTCCTGCCATACTTAATTTTCATGCATTCTTTACTCTTGCTTATAACCTATTAGTTCCAGTTATCTTTTTTTTTTTTAATAAAAAAAAGGGTTTAAAGGGCTTTTTTTATTTAATGGAGAAAAATAGAGAGTAGAGAATTTCAGACTTACATTTTTGCTTTAAAGTTTTTTATTCTTTAATTTTCATTTATAATGTTTGCTTATTGGTAGGTTTAGTTTGAAAATCTAAACCTCAATGAGAAAAATTTAGCATTTGATTTTTGTTCCAAAATAATGACTTTTTTATCTTATAACCTCTAGTACTTTCCTTATTACAGTTTTTAAAAAAAATTTAGTTATAGTTGAACACAATGTCTTTATTTTGTTTGTTTATTTTTATGTGGTGCTGAAGATTGAATCCAATGCCTCATATGTGCGAGGCAAGCGCTCCACCAGTGGGCTACAACCCCAGCCAGTATTTATTACACATTTATCACATGAAAAAAATTGTTAAAGAACAGCAGCTTAGTTTTCCCTAAGGGGGAAATACTAGTTTGTATTCCTGGTCACATTTATAAACTGCATTATAGACATAATCAAAGAGATTTGGGTTTTTTGTTTGTTTGTTTGTTTGTTTTGTTTTATTGTTTGCAGTGGTGAGGTTCAAACCCAGTGCCTCTCAAGGGCTTTATCACTGAGCTACATCCTCAGCCTGCAGATAATTTATTGAACATTCAAATTTTAACTGATTTATGGAAAGTGTGAATTTTACATACCGACATATATGAATCTCAATATGAAATGGACAGTTCAATATTAACAAAGCTTTACCTGGTTTCTTTACCATGTTTTACATAATTCTGCTCTTTCCTTACCCATCTGTTTTCTTTCTTCTTCCTGACATTGCTAGGTAAACTTTCCAGTTGTGTATCAAGGAGAAAAAGGGAAATTTATAGGAAATAGGTGTTGGAGTAGTAGCTCAGTGATAGAATGCTTACCATATGTGAGGCTGTAGGTTCAATCCCAACAAAGAGAAGGGAAGGGAGATGGCCTCTGGTGGTCAGACGAAGTCTTCAAACCTAGCCTAGAATTTCATAAACCTCGGGTTTAGCCCTGGATTTGCCACTACCCACCTATGTGACCCTGTCATGTCATCTAACCTCCCATAGTCTCCATTTGCTTCTTCAGGAAATTAAACATGGTTAGACTTAATCAGTGTATCTTAAATTAATTACTTCACTATACCTTATTTCACCAGCACTGTGCAATAAAGGGAAGTTATGAATTTCTGATCCAGGTGAAATCTAAGTTTAATGAACTACAATTAGTAGTTGGATGACTAGGCTGAATGGAGAAAAAAAATAAGGAACTGGGAAAGAAGTAGACTGGGGATGAGCCAGAGCAAGGCCATGGACAGTGCAAACAAAACTTAGAGAAGTGGGTTCCTCAGAATTAGTTAAGAGAGATATTAAAGGATGGTGGCAGTACACAAAAGATCAGTATGAAGATTTCATTTATTTATCATCCTACCCCGGGACTAATTTTTGTTTCACATCTCAACTCTGGTATTAGCCTTTTGGAGTCCTTTGTTGAGATGGACATTGCACTAAATCTATATTCATCAGGAAAGAGTGTAATGAATTTTTGCTGTGGGAATTGATGTGGGAAAGAGAAACTAGAGACACATGTGTCACATATTTGCTTTCCGTACAGTTTGAAGAAAAGAACAGAAGAAACTACTCCCAGCATCATTTAGCATAAGGACAAATAGAACTACATACTTTAATGATTCCAAGAGAGCCAGTATATTATAGTAAAGTAATAGAAATGATTTCCTAATTGATTATTAGAAAAATCTTAATATACAAGTAGTATTGCTTTGAGATCTAATGCTTTTTTGAAATTAAAAAGTATTTGCCATTGCATTTCTTTACTCAAATTTTATGAATATATAATAGTTATTAAAAACTAAGTACATATTAAATGGAGAAAGCACTATAAAAATAAGTTGCCTAGAATCTGCAATTTATTTATTCAATCAAATAGTAAGCATCTACTGTATGCCAAGCGTTGTGGTAGATACAGTAGATACAGCTGTTTTCATGGTGATTACATTCCAGCAGTGAAAGTGAGCGATTTATTTTGTCAGTTAGTGATGATTGCTATAGAAAAAAAGAAAAGTGAGGTTTGAAAGAAACCATGGGGGCTACATTAGAAGGGAAAACTTTTTGATAACATAATTTAAACAAAGCCCCAATGGAAAGAGGGAGGACAGGAAATGTGACATACGCTACTAAAATATTTTTATCAATACAGTTAAGATAGCATTTTGAAACTTAAGTAATTAAATTTCACTTATTTTGAATAAATGAAATGTTTTAATTTGTACAATGACAAAACTAAGGTTTTTATTTATGTTTCATAATTTCTCTGTCTAGCATTTGGAAAAGTAAATATTAGTTAAAACCTAAATATGGACATTTATTCTAAATTGTTTATCAGGTAAATGGAAGAATAGTAATATACTATTTACCAATTAATTATAGGCTTAATATTATTCTATAGATTTAGTATGAATAAAACCTTTCATCTTTTTATGGATTTTTAAGTTGCCACCCTTATTACTAAAAATTACTAAATCACTAAACTACTAAAAATAGTCATAACATTTTGTATAAAATTGCAGAAATGCCAATTGAAAACCATATGAAATAGGGCTACTTTATTTTTAACATTTCTTTTTGTGCCCTCTCCTTAGATTGAAACACAATTAGCAGAATATCACAAACTGGCTAGAAAATTAAAACTTATTCCTAAAAGTGCTGAGAATTCCAAAGGTTATGACTTTGAAATTAAGTTTAATCCTGAAGCAGGCGCCAACTGCCTCATCAAATACAGGGCTCAAGTTTATGTAAGTAAATTATGAGATTGTTATTTGTAAGAATTTGAACTTAAATATGTCCATATCCCAGGACTAAAGAAACAGAACTTCTTGGTCTTCTTTCTTCTTGGTGGTAGAAATCTTGTCTTTGTTACAGCTAACTCTTCAAAGTATAAAACCTTTTCTTCTTCTCTAGCTACTTTATTCAACTATCCAGTAAGTAATTAATGTATATACAAGACAAACACCAAGACTATACAGACAAGCATGACAACCTTTGCTCCTAGTCCCCTCATGGGAGAAAGATATAAATGAATGAATGACAAATATGTGCTCTATTAGAAGTCTTTACAAGATATAACATGATTGGTTTTTCCCAGGTAGCAATAAAACTCCACAGAGATGGTGACCATGGAATGAAATCTTGAAAACTGAAATATTCATGGGATGGTGTGTTAAAGGCACAAGGACACACATGAAAGCATAAGATGTAATAATGCATTAAGGAATACCAGCAGTCAACAATGAGAAATCTATGCCTAATTTTACAATATGACCAAGGAAATAATTTTGGGAAGAAAATGTTTAGTTTGCTCTATCACAATGTCTTACTTATTCATAAATTTTAATATTTTATTGGCCCCTTAAAATTCCCTCTTTCATGATACTTACATTTTTTTTGGGGGGCGGGTTGTTTTGTTTGTTTGATTTTTGTGGGTGTGGGGTTATTGGGGATTGAACTCAGGAGCACTCAACCACTAAGCCATATTCCCAGCCCTATGTTATATTTTATTTAGAGACAGGGTCTCAGTGAGTTGCTTAGTGCCTCACTTTTGCTAAGGCTGGCTTTGAACTCTTAATCCTTCTGTCCCAGCCTCCTGAGCTACTGGGATATTATAGGTGTGCCATTGCACCCTGCTGATACTTAGTTTTTTGAATAGAAGGTTGTCAAGTTCAAAAGCTATGCACTTTTTCCCTTGAGAATTATTCAACAAATATTAATTGAATATATATTATGTTGCAGACCAGCTACTATGCTAGAGGTAAAATACGTAGATAAAACCTTTACTTTCCTGGAGATTAGTTTATTAGTGGACTGAAATGGGTTAAGTTAGACTTAGCCAGATATAGTAGTACATTCCTATAATTTCTTCTACTAAAGAGACTGAGGCCAAAAGATGACAATTTCAAGATCAGCCTCAGCAATTTAGTGAGCCCCTTCCTCAAAATAAAAAATTGACATTCCTGGGAATATAGCTCAGTGGTAGAGCACCACTATTTTAAAATTTACCCCAAATTTTTAAAGACCACCATAATGGCCTATGAGTTTTTCATTTGGAATGATGGAATGTTTAGAACCAGGGATATGTTTACATAGCATTGAGAATCTCTAAATGCCACTGTATTGCACACTGAAATTTAACCTATTTCAGTTTAACCATCTTAAAATGTGAATTTCACCTCAATAAAAGAAAAGCATAATGAGAAGCAACAAAGTAGTGTTGAAATTAAAATCTGTAGGACAGAAGATAAACATAGAAAAAACAAGTTGAGAATGATAAAACTAAAGAGGAGTAAGAGAAATGGATCTATCTGGAGAACATAGCATAAAAATACAACCTACATATAAATTGGTTTCAAAAAAATTACTGCAGTAAGGTGGGCATGGTGTAGCACACCTGTAATGCCACCTGCTCAGGAGGCTGAGACAAGAGAATCACAAGTATGAGGCCAACCTCAGCAATTTACAGAGGCCCTAAGCAACTTAGTAAGACACTGTCTCAAAAAATACAAAGGGCTAAGGATGTAGCTAAATGGTATAGCATCCCTGGTTTCAGTCTCCAGTACCAAAGAAAATAAGAAGAAGAAGAAAGATTACTTCAGTAAACCTAGTGTACCTACAAAATGTATGGAAGTGAATTTCCAGAATAGATGAACAATTCTTGAACTTTGCAAGTATTAAAAACCAAAAGCAGGTTATGTTCTACAGGTATAGAAATTACATTAAAAATTAGTTTTATTTTCTTAGTAATGTTGTATTAAATTAAAAATATTACAGCTTTCCAGGCACATACCTTTATAATCTAGCTAGTCAGAGGCCAAGGCAGGAGGATGGCAAGTTCTAAACCATCCTGGACAACTTACCAAGCCATTGTCTCCAAAATTATTTTTAAAGGGTTGGGGATGTAGTTCAGGGGCAGAATGTTTGCCCAGCATGCACAAGGCCCTGGGTTCAATCTCCATGATAGAAATCAATCCCTGTATCACAATTTACATATTCCACATAAAATAAATTTTGTAATTACCTTTCACTAACATTCTCATGTTTTATATAGGTACCCCTCAAGGAACTCCTGAATGAAAATGAAGAAGGAATTAATAAAGCTCTGAATAAAAAAAAAATGGGTTTGGAGGATACTTTAGAATAAGTAAGTAATGAAATTTAGATTAAAGCAAACATAAGGTTTTTTTTTTTTTTAAGCCTAAAATTAAATGTGATTTGTGGTTTCTAGTTGCCAAGGAATTAATTTTTATTTAAAAAATTTCTGTAAAATGAAAGTTGGTACAAACTTGACTGAGATATTTGAAGTAACTTATCAAGTAATTTAAATATCCTAGGCTTCTTATATCACTATGATATAGTGATATGAAACTAGATTTCATTCCGTTTTGGGGGGGTGTAAGAGAACTACAGAATTCCCTCTTTACTTGAAATAATATTCTTTTTTAAATCTAAAATGGATTTGAGGTGTCTAAATTAAAGTATGTATGTGTCATTTACGGTGAGGCTAACCAACTGTGATGGATTTAGAGGTTTCTTTTTGCCAAGTATTTCTTTCTAGATCATGGAATTTCAGGAGAACTTAAATGCTAATAGAAGTCCATTTAGTTTTCAGAAAGTTCCTGCTTCTGAGATCCTTGAAACAATTATGAAACAATTCCAAGCCAACCATCTATATCCCTGAAAAAGACCTGCTATTTTATTTAATAACCTTTAAAGTAAACATTGCTGTAGTAGTTGATTGAGAAAAGTTAAGAAGTTACTTCCCAAACACACTAGAGTGTGTTTTTATGACACCAAACAATTAAAGGAAGCCCCTAGTTGTTAATTCAACTCTTCAAGAAGTATTGTGTGGGCTGGGGATATAGCTCAGTTGATAAGAGTGCTTTCCTTGCATTCACAATGCTGTGGGTTCAAACCCCAGCACCACAAAAAAGAAAAGAACTATTGTGTTCTGACTAGGATTCCTGGATAAGAATGAAGTCTTATCTTTTCTCTAAACAGAAATATGTTTATTTTTTATCACTTAGAAACAAAACCTATTGTAGTTCACAAATAATTATTCTAATAACCCACAGAAAGTCATTTTTTAAAATTAAAAAAAATTCTGTAACAACTCACTTTGGCTGAGCGCAAGTGGTGCACGCCTGTAATCCCAGCAACACAGGAGACCGAGACAGGAGGAATTCAAAGCCAGACTCAGCAAAAAAGCGAGGCGTCAAACAACTCAGTGAGATCCTGTCTCTAAATAAAATACAAAAAATAGGACTGTGGGGGCTGGGGTTGTGGTTCAAGGGTAGAGCACTTGCCTAGCACAGGCAGAGCTCTGGGTTCAATCCTCAGCATCACATAAAAATAAATAAATAAAATCAAGGTATTGTGTCCAACTACAACTAAAAAAATAAATATTAAATTAAAAAAAATAGGACTGGGAATGTGGCTCAGTGGTTGAATGCCCTGAGTACAATACCTGGTATCAAAAAAAAAAAAAAAAAATTACTTTGTATTAGAAAGTTAATAAACAAGTTTGAAACTCCTCAAAAAAAAAAAAAACAAGTTTGAAACATTGAGTAATTTGGGATTTATGAAATATTAGACTATGGGATGAAGGTTTAGACTGTATACAAGGTGTGCTGATTATTTGAGACAAGGTCTTTTTTTGACCTACTTCAGTTTGATTTTTTTTTTGTTGAAATGGACATTAAATCTGAAGAACCTCCAAAAGATGAATTCCAATCAATAGGGGCCTCATGACTAAAACAACTTTCAGAATGACTTGAAACTTGAAAGACTTTGAGCAGGAAATCTTGGGGAAAGAAAGTTTTATAAAATGCCTAGGATAGGCTAGGCCTCATGTTAGTATTCTAAAGATAAACCTTCCCTTCAAGGGCTCCCACTTGGAGAAAAAGGCTGACATTTGTGCAGTTATGCTAATCAGATTTGCATTTTTGCAAAACCCTTTAGGTTATGGGAAAATGTGGCTTAGAAAGGATGCAACTGAAAATGTTAAGAGATTAAACCAAACTATTCATAGTAGAAACAGAGGGAAAGGGACATGTTTAGGAAGTGTTAAGAAGGTAAATAAATTCCAAGGATTTAATGACCAAGCTTGGAGGAAAAAGAAGTTCTATAATGACTTCCAGATTTCTGGTATGGGCAACTGAATGGACTATAGTATATTACCTAGAGGAAGAAAAATGAGAGAAAATTTGAAGCAGTAGATTCAGAGCATGAGAGAGACCAGGGCTGAAAATAGTTTTAATAGTCTTTAGCACACATATGATAGCTGAATCCATGGATGTGGGTGATATTTCTTGGAATGTATAAATAAAATAGCAGAACATTGAATCCTGAGAAACAATGACATTTAAGGGATCAAGAAAGAAAAAAAAAATTCTGGAAAAAAATACTTAGAAAAAAGTGGACAAAATAGCTAGAGAGTTATTTATTTTGAAGAAGAGAATATGTAGTAGAAGCCAAAATATGGGAGACTTTAAGAAGGAAGTAATCAGTAATACCTGATGCTAATGAGACTAAAGACTTAAACCTTTTTTTTCAGTTTGACAATAGTTTAATCAAGATAAGATGACATAGGATAAAATAGCAATTGGAAATAGTAAAGATCATACAGAAATTAATAAATTGGAATAATGAAGCTAATCAATCTGAAAAGTATTTACAGATAATTGCCAAAACTATTCAGGTAAAAGAAGGAAAATGTGAAGTAAGAAGTAGACAGTTTATAGAGAGATGGTGGGAATTCATTTGAATTACAGAGTAATTCATGTGAACAAAAGTCTTACTGGAAGGGCTAAGGATGTGGCTTAGTGGTAGAGCACTTGCCTAGCATGCACAAGGCCCTAGGTTATATCCCCAGCATTTCAAAAATAAAATAAAAAGGATTCTATAAAAATCTTATCTTTAAAATTGTTTTTTATCAATTTGAATTACAGCATGAATAATACAAATCTCAAAATTGACTCAAAATAAAATGTCAAAACAGTTAAGTAACCAGAAACAAAAGTACAGAAATAATTAGCTCTCCAAAAAGATTTCAATAACAGGTGATTTTTACAAAAGTTCATTGTTTTCAATTATTGAAGATCAGATGATTTTCATGACATGTAAATTGTTAAAACGAACAAAGAGACCTAATTCATTCTTAAAGGCTAGTGTATACCACAACAAAAACATCGCAAAAGAAAGTCAAACCAATCACACTTACAAGCCATGGATGTGGGTGATATTTCTTAGAATGTATAAATTAAATAACAGAAGATAGAATACTAAGCAACAATGATATTTAAGGGATCAGAAAAGGAAAAAAAAGATTCTTTTTATGTTTTATATTCTTACAAATATAAATGTACAGGTAAACTTAAATATTTGCCACTGAATTTTAATTAGCAAATATTTTCTTAAGTGTCTCCGTGGCTGGTACTATAATTAGTGTTGGTAGTACTATTATAGTACAGCTCTTGCCTTTTCAATTGAAAAGACAGGTATGAAAACAATTTCTTCTATCATAACATTTTTGCAGTATAAATAAGCTGTGTATTCTTATATTACCCTAAGATAAGCACAGGAGTCTTTCTGAAAGATGCAGTAACTGAATTGAGCTAGGACTTCACCAGTGCATACACAGAAATTTACATGTGTGCCCTAACTAAAGGCCCAGAAACCAAAGTACACAGCTTGTCAACAAATTACAAGAGTGTTAAGTGTGATAAAAGAAAAGCCTGGGGAAACAATAATCTAATTATTATTAACTTGTCCTTACTTACTGGTAGAATTTTTATTCTATAGGCAATGGGGCCATTGAAGATTTTTAAGTAAGAATGCTAATCACATTTGGCATTTTGAAAAAATAGATGAGGTTCATGAGCCAGAAACATAGACTTAGGAGACTAAATTATATCCTGTGTAATAAATGATAAGGACCCACACCAAGGTACTACAGTGAGGATGGAGAAAAGAAATTGGGAGGCAGAGACAACAGAATTCAGTACTGAAGTGAACAGTTGGATGTGAAGGCTAGAAAAGTGAAATAAATAATGTCTAGGTACATTGTATCTGGCAAATGGGCATGTGATGTTGTTCTTTACTTTGATATTTAATGAGAGAGAGGTACAGAACCGAGTTGTTGCAGTCTGGGATATGCTGAGTTTCGGGTCTCTGGGACATCAAAGTGTAAAATCAGTATGTGTATGTATGCATATTTTAGCATGCAGGTTGTTAAAGTCAAAAGATCTCCCAGATGTGATGTGAGAGAGCACTCTCCCAAGCGAGCAAGTGAGACTACAGCCAGGATCAGAATCCTGGAAGAACATCTATCTATATCCAAATTACGAATAGAAAAAGAAATGTAAAGGAATGTGAAGAGGGACTTTCCAAGACTTAGAGATGAAATCAGGAGATTCCATGGTCTTAAAAACCAAGAAAGGGCTTTTTAAAAAGAAGCTATTAGTAACCACAATTAGTACTAAAATGACAAATAGAATTAAATATCTGAAAGGTATCCATTGGCTTTAGAATTTAAGATGTTACTGAAGAGCCAGGGGTGTGCTTAATGATAGAGGACATGCTTAGCATTCCAAAACCTGGGTTTGATCCCCAACCAACCCACCAGCCTGGATTGAAAGCGTTGAGGGGAGGAAAGAAGTTACCATTGACATTTGCAGAAATGGCTTCATGCAGCCAACAAGCCAGAAACCAAAATACTGTGAGTTGAGGTATGGATAGTAGAAAAGGAAATATAGCATTATGAATATATTTGCCTTTGTGGATTACTCCACATTACAGTACTACCAATATTTGAATCAGAAGAAAGGATTTGGAACAGTAGTAAGAAAAGAGATGTGTAGAAAAGGTTTCTGGTTTATGTGGTTTTGTTTGGTTTTGCCAGATAAGGGAATTGTTTGGTTTTAATGATGTGAGAGGGAGTTGAAGGGAATGAGGATAAATTTTAAATATTAGGAATAAAAGAATGCACATTAAAAGAAGGAAAACCCTCACACAATTATGTTGATTAGAGGCAGGAAATAATGGAATTCCACATTGGTGGTTTCTGTTAGTGATTAAAAAAAGAGAAGCTCATCTAATTGAAGTAATTATGGTATCTTGGATTATCAACAACTTGAGCTCTTTATTAAATAAATGAGGAAAATACTAAAAAAGTATGCCAAATATTTTTTTTTCTTTCTTTTTTTTCTCTTTTTGCATCAATGAATATTTTTATAATCAGGGGAAATGTTTAATAGACATATCTTTGGTAGAGTTGATACGGAAAGTAGAAACTGGTAAACATGGTTTTGACCAGCCATGAGAAACTATTAGGATGTCCTTTCGTCCTATTGCAGGTAAATTTAACAAAACCACTTATTAACTTGTTAGTCCCTTCAAAAATAGCATGTATATTTAGAAAACATCTTTTTAGTTTGAACATCTGGTTTTGATTTCTGACCCTATGCTAACTGTGTGAATCCAAGCAAAGCACATTCTTTCCAATCCACTCCTCTCATATGTAAAATAACAAAAGAACATTCTGTATATGGGATTGTCTTTAATAAGTATAATTATTTCATTACCTTATCTTTTGTCAAATAAACCAAGCTTTTCCAAAAAAAAAAAAACATATTTTTAAAAATTTCATTCTTGTATGTGAAGAGTCATCATCTCAAAAAAAGAAAAAAAAAAGCCTGTCAGCTCTTTATACATTTTTTTTCTGTTTCCTGTGGGAAATATTTTCTTGATCTACCTGAAGAAAACTTATAATCACAGCCATCAAATGGTATCAGCAGTTATCAAGAGGAAATGAACTTTAGACACACTTCTTCAGTTTGGGTTTCAAATTATTTCCAAGGTCAAGCTTCAACAAGATTAAATATGATTACCTTATTAATCTTTCAAAAGAATGTATAATTATAACCAAGTAGCAAGTATTATGCAATAAAATTAATATAAAAAATTCTCTTTTAACATCTCAGAAAGTGAACACACAAATAGGAAGCTACATATATATGAAGTATATAAAATATAAAGTATATAAAATATAAAAATCTAGACAGCAAAAATAATTTATAATTATGAATATGCTGGTATAACAATATTAATAATATGTAATAATGTGATGTGTATAATATTTATATAATATATGTGAGTATTTATAAAACACTCCCACCACTAGAAATACATATTAGTACTTTGAGTTTTTTGTTTTTGTTTTTATTTGTTTTTGGTTTGGTTTTTTGGTTGTTGTTTTTATGTTTTGCTTTTTTTGTGTGTTTTGTTTTGAGTTGCTAGGTATCAAACCCAGGGCCTCACACGTGCTAGGTAAGCACTCTACTACTGAAGCTACATTACCAGCCCTAGTAATCTTATTTTAAAGTTTCTTTGGAATCAGTTCCTCTTTGGGGAATAATAAATGGACAAACTATAGATTGGAAGTCAAAAAGACTAGAAGAAATAACATTGGTATAGTTAGTTGATTGAGAATATAAAAGTTAGCCAGTCGAAGTGGCTCATGCTTGTAATATCAGCTCCTCAGGAGCCTGAGGTAGGAAGATCACAAGTTCAAGGCCAGCCTAGGCAACTTGTCTCAAAAAATGAAAAAGGGGCAGTGGGTGTTGATCAGTAGTAGAATTCTTGCCTGTAGGGCCCTGGATTCAATCCCCAGTATCGCCTAAACAAATGATAACAGAAAGAGAATATAAAATTTTATGATATGTTAAATTTCTTTGATGTATAGTTATGATTCTCAACCAAAGTTTTATTCCCCAAGTTGAATACAATGATAACAGAAAGCAAGAGAAGTGTGAGAACACTGAAAGAGGAAGTTCAAAAGCTGGATGATCTTTACCAACAAAAAGTTAAGGTAAGAACTTGGCCAATTTGTTCAAGTTAGCCAAAACTCTGTCATGATTGACTTACAATATAGTCTAACATTAAAACTGAAATCTTTATGTGTGATTGTCTTCTCTTAAAATTCATTGTAAATCATTTATCCTGTCCTTTAAAGGACATTTTTCTTGATTCAGGTTATTTCAGCATAGAACACATCTGCCTTTTTATACTTGTATATGTGATTAAGTATTCTTACAAGACAAAAACATATTTTAAACATATGTCTTCTACCTTTTTATAGAGATTCAGTGTTATATACTCCTAAACTTGAGCACCAGTAAAGTCTTATTGTATGCATAATTGCCCATCAAGAGTTATTGTGTTGCTGGGTGGGATTAAAAAGCAAAAAATAGTCACTGCATGCCTGTAATCCCAGCTGCTTCAGAAGCTAAGGTTGGAGAATGGCAAGTTTAAAGCCAGCCTCAGAAACTTAACCCGAACCTGTTTCAAGATAAAAAGGATTAAAGATGAAAACTATTTTCTTGAAATCTAAAAGGCAGATAAAATATTAAGATTGATTCTTAATTACTTTATATGTCACCCCCTGACCAGCATTTTACTTAGAGAAGTATTCAAATGACTCTGTTTATTACCACTTAGACAATTTAAGTGAAATTTTGAGCTATACCATTACTAATGCCAGCAAATTATCAGGAATTGAAAATTTTTTTCTTATTCTGTATATTTGGAACCCATGCGTTTTTGGTTTTTTTTTTGTGTGTTTTTTGTTGTTGTTGTTTTTGTTGTTGTTGTTAATGTTATTGTTTTGGTTTTTTTAAAGTAGTATCAAAATTTTAGAAAATTTACCACAAAATATGATCTAAATGTGAGATATTTAATAATAATTTTTGTTTTATCAGGTATGCTCCATGACAGTGCTTAAGTTTATTCTCTGAAGCCCTTAAATGAAAGACTTTAGGATACATACTTTATCTTCAAAAACCTAGAAATTGTATTTGGGCTTCTTTGTGCACAGTTAATGCCATTGTGAAATAATGACCTAAAAAATTCAGGTTTGTAGAAAAAAAGTGTCAAAAAAAATAAAATAGTCAGACTTGAAAATTCCAAATTAAAGCTTTACAGACCTCTTGAGAAAGTCACATCTGTGTTATATTTATACTACAGAATTCCCAATGGCAATTGTGGTAAGCATCCTGAGAATATAAATGATGCAATCTGGATTGTTTTAAAATGCTTTATGTACTTTTAAAAATCTACTTTGAATATATGGAATATGAATATCAAAAACATGTAACCATGAATTTATCCTAATAGGAAGCTGAGGAAGAGGATGAAAAATGTGCCAAAGAGCTTGAGTCCTTGGAGAAACACAAGCACCTGCTGGAAAGTGCTGTTAATGAGGGCCTAAGTGAAGCTATGAATGAGTTAGATGCTGTTCAGCGGGAGTAAGTTCATCTCACCAAGATTTATTTGTTTATTAGTTGCTTATAATTTCTATAAATCTATATCTAATTTTTTCCTTTAATTCCTATTATAAAGTTATTTGTGGTGGAGAGAGTGGTGAATAGAACTTAAGCAGAACAACTTAAAATGTTAGATACATTCTTCTACTGTTATAGTTATTGCCCAAAAGAAATGATTCATTTTAAATTTAATTGATTAGTGAATTTTAAACGCTGAAAACAAAATAACATTTTTTAAAAAAATATTTATATTTTTAGTTGTAGTTGGACACAATACTTTTATTCCATTCATTTATTTTTATGTGGTGCTGAGGATCGAACCCAGGTCCCCACACATGCTAGGCGAGTGCTCTACCAGTGAGCCACAATCTCAGCCCCACAAAATAACATTTTAAATCAATTCAAATAAATTTGACTACTTGATAATGAATTTTAATAAGCCCCACTAAACTTCTTTTTTAAAAATTTCCTAGAAATTATGTGTATTATATAGTAAAATATGATTATATTATAAATTACAGAGTCATTGTTCTATAATACAACTTATACTTTGCTAATAATTGCCGTGCTGTGCAAAATAATGCAGTAAAAAGTATAGCACTTATATGAAAATTGGTATTAGGCACAACACTCAAAAACTACATCAGTGACACACATGAGCAAATAATGATGACCTAATAAAAACTTTTAGCATCACTGTACACATGTTAAATACTTAAGAAATATGCAAATGCAAAATAAACATGGGATTTTTCACCTTAAAAAAACATACAATTTGCTTTGAGAAATGGGCATTCAGAGAGTTGTAGCCTCTGAGTTGTTATGAGGAGGTAGAAGGAGATTTATCTGATATGGAATGGAAAATTTTATAACACTGGTTGTGGATGCATGTCATGATCACATTTGCAGTGAACTGAGACAGTACGCATTTGAAGTATGTGCTTGTGTATATTTTGTGTGTACCTTAATGTCTGGATACAGCTGGGTGCAGTTTTCAACATTCATCAAATATTTCTCAAGGAGAAAATTGGCATAAGCCAGCACAAATTTGCATTATTCTCATATCACTACCAGATTTTTGAAATTAATTTAAAGTTACATAGGAAGAATTTTAGCCAAACTATGTATTAACTATAAAAATTTTGCATTCTTTCTTTGAAGAATATTCTGCTTTTTTGTGATTATGTTGTGCAACCTAACTAAAAATCAACATACTAAATAATTAATCCATAATATTCTGTGTATATTGATATGAATATATACATTTTTCAAGTCTTATATGGCCCTCAAATAACTAAAAGACATCTCACACTGAGGTTGCAAGGACAATACTTGAGAAAGTGACACATCTTCATTTCTTTATTTGTAGTCTAGGGATAAAATACACAGTAGAGGTTTATTTGATCTCTATTTTGTTTTGAATATGAATTCCTAAAGGTAAGATTTCTACTCCCCTCTTTGCAATTTTCTGTCTTCTCTTAAAAGCATTCTGCTATAATCCATTTGGAGACTTAGGTAAGCTCATTTAGGGCTGGGGATGAAGCTCAGTGGTAGAGCACTTGCCTAACATGTACAATTCCCTGCATTCCATCCCCAAAGCCACAAGATAAAGTTTTGGTGTTTTTGGTTTTGTTGGCTTACAAAGCATCTTTGAAAAATATTATTTCTGTTTTAATGATTGATAGCTAGAACTAAATGAATTACGTGTATAGTAAGTATCACAGACTAATCACAGCTTTGTTTTATTGAATATGAAAATAGGAAGTGAGCCAACTAGACCTGATATATTAATTTATTTTCTAGACAACTTAAAAAAAAAAAAAACATTTTTATTCTTCAGGTACCAACTAGTTGTGCAGACTAAAAATGAAGAAAGATGAAAAGTCAGAAATAACTTGCAGCATCTTTTAGAAATGATTCCTACACATGTAGGGTCTGTGGAGGTAAGTGTGAAATTCTTTAGCACTTTAATATATTTCTGCTCTGTCTCTATAGGAATTAATATAGTTAATTTCATTTATATGAAAATATCTTATTAAAAATTTGCCAGAAAAATTCTGTCTAATGGTGTGACCAGGGGATATAAGAGAATGTGTGTGCATTTTATAAAGTAATCTGTTTTGTTCATATAAATGACATACAATAATATTTTCATATCAACAATCTATAATGGTATTGCACCAGGCCATGTTCAACTTAACAAAAATGTATGAGAACATTTGGGATTTAATTAAGATTGAGAAGAAAGAGCATATCTTTATAATAAGTGTTTTTCCTTTCTGTAATTTCATGTAAATGCAGAATAAAGTATTTCTGAAATATGAGGTTTTGCCTTATCCCTAGCTTTCCAATAGCTTAATAGTATACCAATAAAACTATTTATCCAGTGCCGAGGCTGTAGCTCAGTGGTAAAATTCTTGCTTCGCATGTGTGAGGCACTGGGTTCAATTCTCAGCACCACATAAAAATAAATAAAGATACTGTGTGTTCATTCACAACTAAATTAAAAAAAAAAATAACTATTCACCAAACTTATAATGCCAAGCCCTAAAAGCTAAGATAAATACCTGAACCATAGAATTCCTGGGTACTTTTTTTGGGTGATAATATATTTCCAGTTGAAAATGGCTTAAAAAATACTCATCACATCACCTTAATAGCCTTTTGTTTGTTCGAAATATGAGCATATGCTGCCCTACTTCCCATCATCTCTCCTGAAAGACCTTGAAACTGCTGCTTTAAAAACACAAGTGAGAAAGAATTAATATCCAGAAATATGATGGCCTTTAAAAATAAATAAAAATAGTGAAAGACCCAAATGAAAATTTCAGAAAAGCACAAATGAAGCAATAAACATGAAAATATATACCATATTCCACATTCAAGAAGTTGGCCAAAGCCTGGAGCGATGGCACACACCTGTAATCCCAACAGCTTGGGAGGCTGAGGCAGGAGGATCATGAGTTCAAAGCCAGTCTCAGCAAAAAGCAAGGCACTAAGCAACTCAGCAAGACTCTGTCTCTAAATAAAATACAAAATAGGACTGGGCATGTAGCTCAGTGGTCAAGTGCACCTGAGATTAGTCCCCAGTAACCCCCTCCCCCCCAAAAAAAAAAAAAAAAAGAAAAGAAAAGTTGGCTAAAGATTAATGTTTAATAATTCCCAATGTAGAGAGATAGAAGTTCTCATTTACTGCAGTGGTTGTATAAATTGATATAACAGTTTTAGAAAACAACATGGCAATCCTTAATATAACTATGCACCCTGGGTTTGTTTGTTTTTTTTAATAACTTTATTTTATTTATTTATTTTTGTATGTGTGCTGATGGTCGAACCCAGTGCCTCATATGTGATAGGTGAGCACTCTACCTCTAGGGCACTGTATTGAGTTGAATAGTGCCACCCAGAATTCTTGTCTTATCACGATCTCAGAATATAACATTATTAGGAAGTAGGGTCTTTGCACAGGTAATTGGTTGAAATCATATTGAATTAGCACAGGCCCTAAATCCACTATCTGATATCCTTATAAGAAATCCATATGAAACAGAGGTAGATATTAGAGTGAGTGATGCTGCTGTAAGCTAAAGAGCACCAAGAATTTTTTGGAACTGCCATAAACAGAGAAGAAGCAACAAAGGATTCTTCCCTGTATCCTTCAGAGAGCACCATCCTGCTTACATCTTGATCTCAGACTTCTAGCCTGAAGAATTATGAGAGAATAAATGTCTGTTATTTTAAGCCACCTAGTTTGTGGTGATTTTTAATGGTATCATTCACAATAGCAAAAAAAAAAAAATATATATAACATGGTATGCTAGTATCTTATGTTTACTATAACTAATTATCACCAACTTAATTAATGTCTTAAAATAGCACATGTTCATTACCTTACAGTTAGGGAGGTTAGAAGTCTAATGTGGGTTCACAGAGCTGCAGCCCTTCAAGGGCTTTAGGGTAGAATCCATTTCTTTCCCTTTTCTAGCTTCTAGAGTCCCCTACAGTCCTTGGCTTGTAGCTCCTTCTTCTATCTTCAAAGCCAGCAGCAGGGTAGATTTCTCCTCTCTGCCCTCTTCTGTTTTCTTCTCTCTCTGACTCTGATACAACTAATTCCCTCTTATAAAGACCTTGTGGTTACATTGGGCCTACCAAGATAATGCAGAATAATCACATTTTCTTGATATTCTTAGCTTTAAAAAAGAAAATTAAAAAAAATTTAATCACATCTGTAAAGTTCCTTTACCATACACAATAGCATAGCCACAAGTTCCTGGAATTAAGGCATGATCAGCTTTGGGGAGATCATTGTTTTCAGCCTGCTATATCTGGAAATGAACAAAAAATCACTAATAGAAACAACTAATAGAAAGAAAGATAAGAAAATATCGATTCAGTCATATTTAAATGCTATATAGCACTATATGAAAAATCTATAGCTAGTACATCTGTGCACTAAGTTATCTTAAAATACTGAGTGAAAAACATGTCATAGAATATTATATTTAATAATTTCCAATAAGCACAAAGGTTGAAACCAGCACCCACTAAACCAAGATAGTCATGCATTTTATGACAGAAACACATTCATAGAAATGTTTTTAGGCAATTTTGTTCTTTTTTGCACATACTATAGATCCCTACACAAACTAAGATGTAATTAGGTAATATATAATCTTATGGAACCACCATTATGTGTACAATACATCATTGTCCAAAACATCATTATGTGGTACATAACAACCTATTAGAGATACATACATATCTCTCTATGTGGTAAAAGTATAAAGAAAGTCAAAACATTCAGGCAAGTAGTATCTCTGGGGAACAAAAGAGGGGATCTCATTAAGAAAGGACACAGGGCCAACATGGTAGATACAAGAATATTCTTTTTATTTCTATTGTTAACAAATATTTCACTCTTGTTTGTAAATTTCACACTTTGAACAAATTAATGTTTCTACATTAACAATCTCTAATTGTTTCTACTAGAAACATCTTGAGGAGGAGATTACTAAAGTTGATAGAGAATATGAAGAATGCATGTCTGAATATCTCCTGGAAAATATTAGAGAGATTACAGAAAAATATAAGAAGAATGCTGCTCTACTTAAGACTTCTGGTGAATGAAGATCAAGTGCTGATTATCCTTTATAAAAATAGTTCATTAACAAAACTACATTTGTACAGTGTTTTTTTTTTTTTTTTTTTTCATATTTCTTTGCCTAACTTCAATTGGTGAGAAGATAGGTAGTGTGGTCTAAATCAGAAATTAGCCAAGTAACCTGTGAACCAAATCAGACACAGCCATTCATTTACATTTTGTCTGACTGTTTTCCCACTCTAATGGCAGAGTTGAGTATATACAACAGAAATCTTGTGATCTCCAAGGCCAGAAATGTTGACTCTAAAGTCCTTCATAGGAAAAGATAACTGACCACTTGTATAAAGTATACATGGTTAGTATTGCCTAATTTTGAAACTTTTTTGTTGTTGTTGTTTTGTTTTGTTTTTGTACTGGGGATTGAACCCAGGGTCATTTTACCACTGATCCACATCCCTGGTCCTTTTTATTTATTTATTTGTTTGTTTGTTTTAATTTTGAGACAGGATCTCACTATGTTGCTGAAGCCAGCCTCAAATTTGTGAGCCTCCCTAGTTCCTGGGAATACTGGCATGCACCACCATACCCAAATAAAACTTCTTAATGATGCTGGACACACAATAGTCCAACCCACTCCTGGTTTACAGCTTTATGGCTTTCCAAGAAGCTAAAGTTCATTTTTGCTCTGAAGCAGAAGAATATGCAATGTTAGTTAAGGGAATTAAAGGAAATAGAATTAAAGGAAATAACAAAATAATTTAGCTCAAAACCCTCATTTTAGAAATGAGATTTCATTTTTAGAGAAGCTCTGATTCATCTCAGGTCACACTTGGTAGTAGTGGTAGACACAACATTGGAACTTGGTTCTGGTGCACAATCTGAAATTTTAGCTACAAGAGCCATGAAAAGTGAATATTCCCAATGCTAAGAAGTTGTGTTTAGGATGGGGAATTTTTTAAATAGGTCTCAGTTGTTAGGAAATTCCTTAAATTGAACTGGCATCTGCCTCTACTATTAACCTTATTTTTTCAGTACTATTTAAAATCTAATGTAAGTCAGAACAAAAAACATGATAAAAAGAAAGGCATGAGAACTTGGAATGGAATTACAATAAAGGCTTATAAAGGAAGGCATTCAGCCTAAGAGCGCAATGAACAAAGAAAGATCATAGTTGGAGGATAACTAATAGATATGACAAGATTAATGGTTACTAGGTATTCTAGAATCTTGACTTACAGGATCCAGTAGAACTTTCTTCAAAATAAATGGTTTGTGCATTATGCAATATGGTACCAGCTCCCCTAGTTATTTTTCACTTAGATGGTATCTGTGGCAAAAGAGACAAGAGCCTTGCCACTCAAACTAAGTGGGGGGTGCAGCAGCATCACTATCACCTGTGGTCTTGTTAGAAGTACAAATGTTTGACCCCACTCAAAACCAACTAAATCCGAATCTGCATTTTTATAGAGTATTAAAAATAAATAACGAAAACATGTAAAGTTTTCATAAATCATGACATATACCTGTAAAATGTTCATTACAATCAAGCTAATGAGCATCTATTACAACCAGAGTTTTCTTAATGGCTTTTCAGAATTTTTCCTCTTACCTCTGTAACTCCCCACCCCACCCAATCCTCAGGCAAGTACTGATCTTTCTATTACTAGGGATAAAACTCAAACTACAGATAAATAAACTATAGTGTTTACTGGAATTTTACACAAATAGCTATTGAAAAATGTACTTTTCAAAAAATTTTAATTAATTTATTTTTTTAATTAGTTATATATGACAGTAGAATGCATATTTACACTTTGACATATCATACATAAAAGGGATATAATTTCTCATTTTTCTGAGTGTACATGTTGCAGACTCATATTGGTCATGTAATCACATATATACAACAAGTAATAATGTCTGTTTAATTCTACTATCTTTCCTATCCCCACATTCCCTCCCCTTCTTTCCCATCACTTCCCTCTACCTAGTCTAAGGTAACATATTCTCTAGTGCCCACTGCCTTATTGTGAATTAGCATCTGCATATTAGAGAAAACATTCTGCCTTTGGTTTTGCGGGATTAGCTTACTTCACTTAGCATGATATTCTCCAACTCCAACCATTTGCTAGCAAATGCCATAATTTTACTCTTCTTTAGAGCTGAGTAATATTCCAATGAGTATATATATATCACGTTTTCTTTATCCAGATTCATCTATCTAGGTTGGTTCTATAGTCTAGCTATTGTGAATTGAGCTGCTGAAAACATTGATGTGGCTGTGTCACTATAGTATGCTGATTTTAAGTCCTTTGGGTATAAACCACGGAGTGGGATACCTGGGTCAAATGGTGGCCCCATTCCCAATTTTCTGAGGAATCTCCATAGTGCTTTCCATAAAGGACACCTCATTATGTTGACCAGGCTTGTCTCAAATTCCTGGACTCAAGTGATCATCCTTCATCAGTCTCCTGAGTAGCTGTGACTACATGCGTCTGTCATTATGCCTAGTCCATACACTCTTGCATGGTTTCTTTCACTTCAAATATTTTGAGATTTATGCATGTTTTGTGTAACAGTTGTTCATTCCTTTTGAATTAATACACTCAGGTATCATACCTATTGAAGGCCACTGGGTTATGTTATGGTTAGGATATAGTTTGTCTCCCACAGCTTTCTGTGGTGAAATTTAACCCCCATCAGGAGAAATTAAGAGACTGGAAACTTAGTCCAACTGTGCTGCTTAGAGGCAGGACCTTTGGGAAGTAATTAGGTTTAGATTAATTAAAATCATTAGGGTAGAGCCCCTATAATTGAATCCTTGTAGTTTTATAAGAAAACAGACCACAGGATATACATTTACATGTTCCCTGTCATGTAATACTATGAGCTGCCTTTGGACTCTGCAGGGGGGTGGAGGGGTTGTCATCCAATAAGGCTCCTAAACCTGTGCCTCTAGAACCATGTGCCATAATAAACCTGCCTCAGCGACTGGGGGTATATCTCAGTTGGTAGAATGCTTGCCTTGCATGTATAAGTCCCTGTGTTCAATCCCCAGCACCACTAAAATAAATAAATAAATAAAAATAAACCTGCCTCTGGTATGGCATTATAGTGATGAAAAGCAGACTAAAACAAATTATTTAAAATTTCTGGCTATTACAAATAAAGCCATTATGAACATTGACATAGAAGTATTCCTATGGATATATGCTTTCATTTCTCTTGGGTAAAATATACACTAGAGAGCTCCAGTAACAAATGTTTGGGGCTCTAGGATAAACTCTTGCTATCTGTGCAGAAGTGCACACCAGTTAAGAAACAGCTGTTGGCATATTACAGAGGTCTGGTAAAAACAACACATGAGCATGTGACAGTAAGTGCCTATGTATACTTCCCTTTGTGACCCTTGTCATAAAGTCAGACCCAAAAGCCCATCACAAGATAGAAATGGTACCTCCAGGATCAGTCTGAACAAGACCAGAGGGCACAAATAAGCTTTCCAAGGAAGTTGAGGCCTTCTTTCCCCTGCAACAGTTGCACCAAAGCTTTCCCCCTAATTTTAACCTATGAACATCACAGAGTCCTATGCAACTAGCTGAAAAAGTAGGGAAAAGTCCCAAGCTTGGCTTACATATGAATCAGCCAGTTCTATGTGGATTCCAAGGAGAAAACTCTCAGCAGGTACTTTGCAGCCACATTAAGAGATGATCCTGGCAGCTTTCCAGGAAAGATTTTCTTAATGGGTTTTCTTCTTGTAGAAGTGGCCTGAGATGAGAAGACATGCAGATTCTCAAATAGTGACAATGGATTGGCCATGGCCCCAGGGCCTAGAAGGCATAGAGCTGATTAAAAAACAGGAGTCAGTTATATGTGCTAGAGCCAAGTGTACAAACCGAGTGGGCACAAAGTGAAGACTTCTGCATCACATGTCAATCCCCACCATAAAACAGCTACAATAGAAGAGATACTGACAAAATCACTCAGTCAGTTGAAGTTAAGCAAAACTGATGTAATTGGGCACCTGAATGGCCATGCTTCAGAAATGGAAGTCATATGTATGCCCAATAGCCAGGATTTGTATTTACAAGATTGATCTAGTGACCTACTTCTTAGTGTTCATCTTGTCTGCAACAGAGAATGATACTGTGCCTCTGATAAGTATTATTCCTTAAATAGACCAAATGACTATTTGATGACAAGTTGACTCCATGAGTCCTTCCGTCCTAGTAAGACTAGCATTTTATCCTCACAAGGATAGATCACTATTATGGGAAATGAAACATGATATATTAAAACATGGAATACTACTAAAGTAAAACCCTGAGGAAAATTCATAGTTTTAAATACATTTTTAAGAAATAATTAAGGGCTGGAGTTTTGGCTCAGTGGTAGAGTGCTCACCTAGCACATATGAGGCACTGGGTTACATCCTCAGCACCACATAAAAATAAATAAATAAAATAAAGTTATTGTGTTGATCTACAACTAAAAAAATTTAAATAAATAATTAAGAATCTAACTCAAATTTTAGGGAAAAAAATGAAACTAATTGAAGCAAAGCAGAAGATAATTATTGAATAACAAGCAAAAACTAGTCAGTATGAAAACAGACATACTAAGTTTAAAAAAATAATAGAGATGCCCTTTTCTCCCCATAGAAACTCAATCCCTACCATTATCTGGGGTTTAAGGAATGCCTGATCTGGAAGCAATGAATTCCACATATATAACATTTGTCAGTGAAAGAAATGTAGGAGTGAATCTATGACAATGGGAATATTGACTATCATATACTGACCTAGAATGGCTGGAACAGACTTCTAAAGATGCAAGTGATATGCATGTTTGGAGAACTAACTGAAGGCATCCCGCAATATACAACCCAGGGGCTGTGGTTGTGGTTCAGTGGAAGAGTACTTGCCGAAGCACTGGGTTCAATCATGGCACCACATAAAAAATAAATAAATAAACAAGATAAAGCTATTGTATACATCTACAACCCAGTTTTGGGGCTGGGGCTGTAGCTCAGTGGTGGAGCACTTACCACACACGTGAGCCACTGGGTTCAA